TTAGATTCCCATACAATAAAAATGGGAGACTTTAACACCCCACTGTCAACATTAGACAGATCAACGGGACAGAAAATTAACAAGGATATCCAGGAATTGAACTCAACTCTGCACCAAGCGGACCTAATAGACATCTACAGAACTCTCCACCCCAAATCAACAGAATGTACATTCTTCTCAGCACTACATTGCACTTATTCCAAAATTGACCACATAGTTGGAAGTAAAGCACTCCTCAGCAAATGTAAAAGAACAGAAATCATAACAAACTGTCTCTCAGATGACAGTGCAATCAACTTAGAACTCAGGACTAAGAAACTCAATCAAAACCACTCAACTACATGGAAACTGAGCAACCTGCTCCTGAATGACTACTGGGTACATAACGAAATGAAGGCAGAAATAAAGATGTTCTTTGAAACCAATGAGAACAAAGATACAACATACCAGAATCTCTGGGACACATTTAAAGCAACGTGTAGAGGGAAATTTATAGAACTAAATGCCCACAAGAGAAAGCAGGAAAGATCTAAAATTGACACCCTAACATTACAATTAAAAGAACTAGAGAAGCAGGAGCAAACACATTCAAAAGCTAGCAGAAGGCAAGAAATAACTAAGAACAGAGCAGAACTGAAGGAGATAGAGACACAAAAAAAAACCCTCCAAAAATCAATGAATCCAGGAGCTGATTTTTTGAAAAGATCAACAAAATTGATAGACTGCTAGCAAGACTAATAAGGAAGAAAAGAGAGAAGAATCAAATAGATGCAATCAAAAATGATAAAGGGGATATCACCACTGACCCCACAGAAATACAAACTACCATCAGAGAACACTATAAACAACTCTACACAAATAAACTAGAAAACCTAGAAGAAATGGATAATTTCCTGGACACTTACACTCTCCCAAGACTAAACCAGGAAGAAGTTGAATCCCTGAATAGACCAATAGCAGGCTCTGAAATTGAGGCAATAATTAATAGCCTACCCACGAAAAAAAGTCCAGGACCAGACAGATTCACAGCCAAATTCTACCAGAGGTACAAGGAGGAGTTGTACCATTCCTTCTGAAATTATTCCAATCAATAGAAAAAGAGGGAATCCTCCCTAACTCATTTCACGAGGCCAACATCATCCTGATACCAAAGCCTGACAGAGATACAACAAAAAAAGAATTTTAGACCAATATCCCTGATGAACATCAATGCAAAAATCCTCAATAAAATACTGGCAAACTGAATCCAGCAGCACATCAGAAAGCTTATCCACCATGATCAAGTGGGCTTCATCCCTGGGATGCAAGGCTGGTTCAACATATGCAAATCAATAAATGTAATCCAGCATATAAATAGAACCAAAGACAAAAACCACATGGTTATCTCAATAGATGCAGAAAAGGCCTTTGACAAAATTCAACAGCCCTTCATGCTAAAAACTCTCAATAAATTTGGTGTTGGTGGAACGTATCTCAAAATAGTAAGAGCTATTTATGACAAACCCACAGCCAATATCATACTGAATGGACAAAAACTGGAAGCATTCCCTTTGAAAACTGGCACAGAACAGGGATGCCCTCTCTCACCACTCCTATTCAACATAGTGTTGGAAGTTCTGGCTAGTGCAATCAGGCAGGAGAAAGAAATAAAGGGTATTCAGTTAGGAAAAGAAGAAATCAAATTGTCCCTGTTTGCAGATGACATTATTGTATATTTAGAAAACCCCATCGTCTCAGCCCCAGATCTCCTTAAGTTGATGAGCAACTTCACCAAAGTCTCAGAATACAAAATCAATGTGCAAAAATCACAAGCAATCTTATACACCAGTAACAGAGAGCCAAATCATGGATGAACTCCCATTCACAATACCTTCAAAGAGAATAAAATACCTAGGAATCCAACTTACAAGGGATGTAAAGGACCTCTTCAAGGAGAACTACAAACCACTGCTCAGTGAAATAAAAGAGGACACAAACAAATGGAAGAACATACTATGCTCATGGGTAGGAAGAATCAACATTGTGAAAATGGCCATACTGCCCAAGGTAATTTATAGATTCAATGCCATCCCCATTAAGCTACCAATGACTTTCTTCACAGAATTGGAAAAAACTGCTTTAAAGTTCATATGGAACCATAAAAGATCCTGCATTGCCGAGACAATCCTAAGCCAAAAGAACAAAGCTATACCACAAGGCTACAGTAACCAAAACAGCATGGTACTGGTACCAAAACAGAATATAGACCAATGGAACAGAACAGAGCCCTCAGAAATAATACCACACATCTACAGCCATCTGATCTTTGACAACCTGACAAAAACAAGAAATGGGGAAAGGATTCCCTATTTAATAAATGGTGCTGGGAAAATTGGCTAGCCATAAGTAGAAAGCTGAAACTGGATCCTTTCTTTACTCCTTATACGAAAATTAATTCAAGATGGATTAGAGACTTCCATGTTAGACCTAAAACCATAAAAACCCTGAAAAAAAAACCTAGGTAATACTATTCAGGACATAGGCATGGGCAAGGACTTCATGTCTAAAACACCAAAAGCAACAGCAACAAAAGCCAAAATTGACAAATGGGATCTAATTAAACTAAAGAACTTCTGCACAGCAAAAGAAACTACCATTAGAGTGAACAGGCAACCTACAGAATGGGAGAAAATTTTTGCAATCTACTCATCTGACAAAGGGCTAATATCCAGAACCTATAAATAACTCAATCAAATTTACAAGAAAAAAACAACCCCATCAAAAAGTGGGCAAAGGATATGAGCAGACACCTCTCAAAAGAAGACATTCATACAGCCAACAGACACATGAAAAAATGCTCAGCATCACTCACCATCAGAGAAATGCAAATCAAAACCACAATGAGATACCACCTCACACCAGTTAGAATGGCAATCATTAAAAAATCAGGAAACAACAGGTGCTGGAGAGGATGTGGAGAAATAGGAACACTTTTACACTGTTGGTGGGACTGTAAACTAGTTCAACCATTGTGGAAAACAGTGTGGCAATTCCTCAAGGATCTAGAACTAGAAATACCATTCAACCCAGCCATCCCATTACTGGGGCTATACCCAAAGGATTATAAATCATGCTGCTATAAAGACACATGCACACGTATGTTTATTGTGGCACTATTCACAATAGCAAAGACTTGGAATCAACCCAAATGTCCATCAGTGACAGACTGGATTAAGAAAATGTGGCACATATACACCATGGAATACTATGCAGCCATAAAAAAGGATGAGTTCATGTCCTTTGTAGGGCCATGGATGCAGCTGGAAACCATCATTCTCAGCAAACTATTGCAAGAACAGAACACCAAATACCGCATGTTCTCGCTCATAGGTGGGAATTGAACAATGAGATCACTTGGATACAGGAAGGGGATCATCACACACCAGGTCCTATTGTGGGGGGGGAGGGAGGGATAGCATTAGGAGATATACCTAATGTAAATGACGAGTTAATAGGTGCAGCACACCAACATGGCCCATGTATACATATGTAACAAACCTGCACATTGTGCACATGTACCCTAGAACTTAAAGTATAATTTAAAAAATAAATAAATAAGTGCTCAATAAAATGACATCATCATAATAAAAAAACAAACAAACAAACAAACAAAAAACAAAGCCCAGTCATTCCAGTGGGCCTGGATCACAGTGTATGAGGGTGGGGTGGGAGGTAAGAAGTATTATAATGCTCACCCCAGCACTTGGACTTTTTTCTATGAGCAATGGAGACCAACGGACACTTTTGTCCTGCTGAATTTGAAAGGTTAGGGTATAAAATTGAGATGTGCAGGTAGCAGTAATAGATTGGAGGCTGTTCATCAAGTGAACAACTGTGACTATTAACATTTAATTAACTCTGTTCTTCACATGCAACTGGCTGTCCTTGCATGACCTCCCACAAAGCCCTCTTATGGCTTCTTGTCTCACCACCCAGCAAAGGCTTCCACGTATTCAGCCCTGACCTGATCTCCTTCCTAATTTTCACTTTCATATCCTACACGGCCTGAGGAACATCTGTGCCTTGTGGAGACAGAACTGATAGGTTAAGAGGATGTTGTGAATGTTGTGTGGTATTTTGCAGCACAACATTTGACACAGCCTCATGACTGACTGCACAGAAGGGACATAGGTTGTTACAGCTGTTTATCCTCTGTGCATTCATCACTCTTTCATAAGGGCTATCAAAGTATCAGGCATCCTGCTTGGCACTGAGGAGTCAAGATGTATAAGACACAATTACTGTCTTGGATCAACTCCCAAGTAGCTCTGCTATAGGCTGGAACAGTAGGTTGATGATGGTTCCAAGGAACTTTACTGAGAGTTAGGTTAAAGCCCTGGGTGGTGGTCCCTAAATAGCTGTGATCTCTAGTTCCCAGAAGGGGATTCAGATGAAATTCTGCTAAGGAAAGGTGATTAATTTTCTCTGGTTGAAGTAGGGGTGTGTTCAGGGAACTTGGCCTTTTGGAGGAGACTCTTTCAGGAAATATCTCATGCTCCACAGAGCCCAGCATGACATTTTATGGCTAGGACTGTGGAATAGAATGATGGTTCTAGCCAGATGTGTGTGCATCAGAATTACAGGGGAATTTTTACATAACATCCATCTATAGGTCTTAGCTTCTAGAGACAAAACAGTCCCGGGTGGAACCTGGGCATGTATATTTTGATTTTTTTATGCATACTCCTAGTGAAGAACCAATGTCTTGCTCGGATGGAAGCAAGATACTCAGACTTAGTTTCTCTGTAGCTCCTGCTTTTTATTATTCCTAGTTGAACTGCACCACTACTCAGTTTCTATTTTATAATACTGATTATAAAACATGGAGGGAAATAACTCTTTGTATTGAAATTAAAAGTTTTTATGGATAATTAACTATGTGTCCTAGACTCTGGCCTTGTCAAAAGAAGGATGTAAGAAGGCACTATGTATTATACTTGGGAATGATAGAAGAGACTGACCTGGTATTTCCACCCGGAAGAGGGAAAGGATTTTAATTACAAATACAGGAATCCAGCAGATGGCATCAGAGAACACTATAAAAAAGAAACGATTTGCAACAGCCACCTCTCTTCCAAAACGATTCCTTACTTCTGTGGTCTGCAAGGCGGTTTTTTGAATGGAACAGAACATAGTAATATAGGAAAACACAATGATGAGAAAAGCCAGCAAGTTCACACCTGTTGGGAAAAGCACACTTTTAACATCTCAGGCATAAAAGTCAACAGTAAAATTACTGTGGTACAGGTTGAGTATCCCTTATCGAAAATGTTTGAAACCAGAAATGTTTTGGATTTTGGATTTTGGATTATTTGCACATTCATAATGATATATCTTGGAAATGGTTCCCAAGTCTAAACACAAAATTTATTTATGTTTCATATACATCTTATATACATAGTCTGAAAGTAATTTTGTACAATATTTTAAATAATTTTGTGCATGAAACAAAGTTTGTATACTTTGAACCATCAGAAAGCAAAAGCTTCAGGTGTTGAATTTTTCCACTTGTGGCATCATGTTGACACTCAAAAAGCTCCACATTTTAGAGCATTTCAAAGTTTGGATTTTCAGTTACAAATGCTTAACCTGTACTTAGATGTTAAATACAGTGCCTCTTCCACAGGCCCTGCTGGGAAGCCTTCTTTTATATAAGCCCCGTGGTATTAGGTAAAACCCAGGTTCAAGGAAATAAAAACAAAGACATTGGGTTGGCCAGATGAAAAAGAGATTGCAAATACATAAACCCTTATGAGGAATTATAGACTTCTAAAATTCAGATCTAGGCATATCATGAAGTAATCTCTAGCTCTTTTAAAGCATGAAAAGAAGCTATTTTTGTTTTTCGCTCTCTGCAAATTCAAACCTTAAGGGATTGATGTAATCTTATGCACATCTCAAAAAATAAGAACAACCCCACTTTATTATCCTATAAACATGAATAATAAAAGAATAAAAATAATTTTAAAAAATGAATAAAATAACCTTGGAATTTATCGTGAATATAATTGTCTGAGAAACATTATTCCTAATGTTTTTGGTCTTAAGAAGAATACGTAGAACAAAAATGTATTTTTGTTTATTTTTCTTCATGTTTCTTACAGTAATTTAAACTACTGTGGTTCAGAAACTTTAGACTAATTTTATAATAAACAATAAGAAAAAAGTTAAAAATTCAGCTATGTGAATTACTCTTTTGGGCCCAAATGTATGCACAAGATTTCCACCCAACATCACTGTTCCCTTTCATGCTGACTTCTTAGTGACTCAGGTTTGCTTTATTCTTGCTGTCGCTGAAATCCTGAGTGATCATCTCCTTTCTCACAGTGAACATAAGACTTGCATATATTTTCAAAGTTGTTAAAAAATATGAATCTGAACCTAGACTGTATGTAGATTGGTGAAGTCTAGAGTAAAAATACTTTAAATTCAAGGTGATCTGTTATTTTTATCCAAATCATTTCATATGCAATGAAATCGCAGTATAGAGCCATACAGTAAAATTTTATAAAACTGGTTTGTCTTAGGCCTCTTTTCAAAAAATTTTGTTAAGTGTAAAAAATAATCACTCTCTTAGAAGATGCTCCCCTGCCCCAAATTCTGATAGCAGACTTACAGAAAGGATCAGAAGTGTATGTTCTAGGCTGGGCATGGTGGCTCACACCTGTAATCCCAGCACTTTGGGAAGCCGAGGTGGGCAGATTGCTTGAGGTCAGGAGTTTGAGACCAGCCTGGCCAACATGGTGAAACTTGGACTCCACTAAAAATACAAAAATTAGCTGGGCATAGTGGTGGGCACCTGTAATCCCAGCTACTTGGGAGTCTGAGGCGAGAGCATTGCTTGAACCCAGGAGACGGAGGTTGCAGTGAGCTGAGATGTCACCACTGCACTCCAGCCTGGGAGACAGGGTGAGAGTCTGTCTCAAAAAAAAAAAAAAAAGTGTATGCTCTGAATGCACGATAGTAATATAAGAAATATGTTAACAATAGGGGAAACCTGATGGGGCATATGTGGAAAATTGTACTATCTCTGCACCTTTCCTAAAATGAAAACTATTTTCAAATAAAAAATTAATTAAAAATTATATATTCTTATATTCTTCAAACAGAAAAAAAAATTGTACTTTAGAGCTCTAGGACTCTTCCTCTCATATACAAATTGAGGATGATGATTTTGTGTGTGTGTGTGTGTGTGTGTGTGTGTGTGTGTGTGTGTGTGTGTTTGTGTTTGTGACTATCTCTTTATCTATCTGGAATATATCCCAGATACTTAACCTCTTTGGACTGAGCTCCTTTGCCCGCATGGTATGCTCCACCAAAATGAGTTTCTTCAGCCCTTCATCTTACTCTGTTTCCTGGCTTTGGGCCTGGGAATCCACTATGTGTTCCTGGAACACAGACCCCACCTCACCCTCCTCTGCCTTCACTTGGCTAATGCCTCCTCATCCTTTGGGCCTCAGTTTGAATTCATTTCTTTTGGGAAGCCTTCCCTGTTCCTCAGATCTGGGGCTCCTAGAACATGCTGTACTCTTCCGTCATGACATTGATCAGCCTGTGTGTGATGTGAGGACGTGTTGACTTGTCTGCCTCCTCCTCTGTGGTCTGTAAGGCCTTTGAGGCTGGATCTGTTGTATCTCCAGTACCCAATATAGTATATAGTTCACAGCCTATAGTAAGTGCTGAATAAATGCCTGTTGAAACAATGCATGTCATGGGGTGTGTGTGTGTGTGTGTGTGTGTGTGTGTGTGTGGTGTGTTTCAGGGAGAGTGTCTATTAAGGGCACCTACGTTAGGAGTAATGAGGAAATGAATGATAAGGAAATACAAAGAACAGCCTGTAATACTCTGGATCCTGGGAATGACATATCTATAACCAAATAACTACCAAATAGGGTAGTGTGTGATGGTATTACTAAAATGGAGTAAACTAAATGTTTTGTTTTTCAGAGGAGGAAGAGGAGTAGATGGAGAAGAACTGGGCATGATGGTTAGGGTCATGTCATGAGGAGTTCTAAGTGACTAATTTAAACTTGACCTTGATAGTACTAGGGAGTCATTGAAGGTCTCTGAGTGGAGGTGTACACAGTCCTTTTGATAGAGAATATAACAATGGTAGTGAATAGATAAATGAGAGGAAGGGGAAGACCCCAGAGGTTACGAGACCAGTAAGGGCTAAGGTAATAATTCAGGGTTGAGGTAGTAAGGTGTCTAACTAAGGCAATAGCAGTGGGTAGAGACTGGAAGGAACAGCAGCAAAAGCAAATTTTGAAGAAAAAGAAAGGACAGGAGAGCTTGTTGGTTCCTTGGATGGGAAGAAAAGATTAGGAGAGTCAAAAGAAGATCACCCCAAAGAGAGGACATGGGAAAAGCCTTAATTTTAAGCAGGAGGGATACATATTAGAAAATAGAAAAATAGTGTTTTTAACTTTAAAGGGCTAAACTTGTCTTTCATTTATAAAGAACACAGGATCTTCTTTTCCAAATATTAGGAGGAACTGAGAGAACTGGAAAGAAAAGAGCTTTATTAAGCATCCTTACATTGCTGACTCAAGAGCAGCATTTAACAAAGGCAATAAACCTTCCTGGTATTTCCATTCAGGTATCTCTTACTTGTCAGTTTCCTGAGTTTTATTATTATTTATTTAACTCATAACTAGATTGTAAAAAAAAGAGTTTAAAAAACTTGGTAGGTTTATAGGACGAGGCACTAAACTGGAATTCCTCCAGCTTATAGTCATTTCATATAAACATGAAATCAAAGGATCTTATGGATAATAAAAAGATAATCCAGAGATCCTGGTAGTATGTCTTTATTTTCCACACTAAATATTGTCTAATAAAAAGTTTAATAAAAACGTCAATAAATGCAATAGTAAAAACTTTTTTTTAAAGAAGGACACAGTCGTGACTATATTACCTCACTTTCTGAAACAAATCCACCTTTGCTGAAATTTAAAGTATTTCTAGCAAAATTATGTTTTTCCAGGAAATGAAAAAATATAATTTACCTAGAAAAATTCCAAGAGAATACCCTTTACTTCCAACATCTTCTGTTTGGTCATAATAAAGTGGGAAACATACTCCATTTTTCCCATAAAAGTTTCCAAAATACTCCTCGTTCCAAAATGGAATTACAGCTATTAAAAATCCTGCCATCCAGATGCAAATGAGGATGACTGAGGTCTGCCGTTTTCCGGGCCGAATGTTACTGAAGGGGAAGACAATGACCAGGAACTTCTCCAAAGTCAAGTAGGTCAGTAGCAGGACAGAGACTTCGGTGGACAGCATGGCCAGGAACCCCATGAGGCGGCACTGCACACTCTCCATCCACAGCAAGGCATACTTCTGATACTGCCCTCGGTATTTTAGATCAAAAAAGCCAACAAAGAACAAGTAAACACCCATCAGGCAGTCAGCACCTGTGAAAGAATCGAAACAGTGTATGTCATCAGTTTCCAATGCCTCTGTTTTAGTTTTCTGATTAAGTCTATTTCCAGCATTTTAATTGTCTAATTAGATCTAGTTCCCTTCATCTGATATCAAATGAACTAATGTAAACATCTTCCAGAGTACCAAAAAGCGAGTGGACTTAAAAATCTGTCATATTTCTAAAGTACTACCCTATGTTTTTATTTTGTAGTTTAAAAAAATGCGAACAGGAATTTTCTGGAAGGAGGAAGGACTAGTTGTTAAACAGTTTACTTATATTATCTTCATAGTTAATAAAGGGAATAATTTTCTGGGCTTAATGAGCATAGGTATCATTGTAATTGAAGTTGACCTTAGTTGTATCACCCACAAAACTTTATAAATCTGTCACTTGACTCATTGGTTCCCTATTAGCGCATTCCCAAGACATATTCCTGAGAGCAGGCCACTGTAAGGTCATGCAACCTAAAAAAAGCCACAAAGAGCCAGAACTTTTATATTTAGAAAAAAAAATGTGCCCAGGGTGTATAATTCACATTAAATGCCATTTGTTGAAAGCCAATAAATGTGTGTGTGTGTGTGTGTGTGTATATATATATTATATACATCTCTAGCGCACAGCTCACAGAAGATACCCTAAATCTACCTATATTGGAAACATACTTACAACAAAGGATTTTGATGGACATAGCGTGAGTTGTATTTTCAGCTTTAATGAAAGATCTCATGCCAATGACAAAAAGATTTCCAAAGCAGGTAATGAAAGCTATAACCCAGACAAATATTCTGAGGATATTGTTAGCCAAGAGGTCCTCAAATGAAGAAATGCCGTCCGTCAAGGGCATACATATTCGGACATGGGGAGCATAGGAGCAGTATCGAAAGTTTTTGAAATAACTAAAGTCAAAGGGAAAAAAAGTGTCACTTTGCAGCAATGATACAGAAACTACAGTTGCAATCCTATCGGGGCTGCAACTCCATGCTAGGTATACAACTTCACTAGGTTTGTTTATTTTTGTTTAGTAGTGTTTATGTAATTAAAGAGTTCTTCATGAAATACGAGGCAGTATCCTTTTAAAGATGAGGAACCTAAAGGACATAGGAATTCAGTAACTTGGATGAGGAGAGTTCGGGAGGACGTGAAAATTTGAAATCTCAGGGGCTCTGTGTTCCCTGGTCACATTGGTTTATTGATTATTCTGTAAGGTATTATGAAAAGTGGATTATCATTGTCAAAGTGATCTCCAGCAAACTTTCAGGGGCTTGGGCTTGGGATGGGAAAAGCCTATTGTCACTCACCTAGAACATTTCTGTCTTGTCCTGAGTTTTAAACACCAAGGTCTACTCACTTTAGCCCCCTCTTCCCTGACACTGGCAGGAAGGGAGGACCTCTGACACTAGGAAAATGCTTTCTCACTGGATCTGGGAAGAGAAGCAGCTGCCTTAAACACAGATTTCTTACCAGGGGCTGGAAGGACTTAATTTCTATGGGAAAATAAGTTTGTTTGTGATCAGTGGAGTTGGGATCTGGGCGCAAGGTATCTGGAAGTGCTGGAATTGGTGAGGTCATTTGGCTGTCGCCATCCCTCAAACCTGTGTGTTTAGAATTTTCTCTCATAAAACTGATTCTATTTTTATTTGTTTGCTACTTCTTTCAGTTCACTTTTCTGCTCTTTGCTGTCAGTCTAATTCATTTTTTTGTCATTTCTCAATTCAGTTTCTAGACCAAGGCGGCCTAGCGTCAGACCCCTGGCTGCCTGCACCACCTCGTCTCTTACCCTGCAATGCTTACTCCACCCAGACACACACGCTCAGACAAGCCATGCTCATGCCCTACTCAGAGCTTTGCTTTTGCTTAAGCCCCCGCCTGGAAGATTCTTCCCCTGGATACTGCCAGGGCTGCTTTCTACCTCCGCTCAGGTCTGCTCGAAGGTCACCTCATTCCAACTTCCATCCACCCCACCTCAGTGGTAATCCTCAATCCTCCTATTCCTTACATTGCTTTATTTAAATTTGTAGCACTTACTGACTATTTACTCGCTTGCTCCTTTACTCTCTGGTTCCCAAAGCTAAATGGAAGCGCTCAGGCACAGACATCCTCTCTTTTGTTAATCATTGTGTCCCTGGTGTCTAAAGCAGTGCCTGGCACATGTAGGTACTCAGCAAATACTTCTTGAATCAGCAAGTGGATGATGAATAATTTAGCACTGGGTGTGTCAGGAAGAGAAACAGGAGGCAATTCTTGCCTTCAAGTAGCTTACAATTCAGCTTCCTAATATCTGGCATCCAATTAAAGGAACCTGACCTATAACAAACTCTCTTTTCTTCTCCTTCCCTGGAGTTCCACACTTGGCTTGACTTCTTGGTCCTTTTAGGATTCCAGTATGTCTGCTATCTTCAGATAGAACCATCTAGCATCTCTCAGTGGTTCAGGGCCACCTTGCACTGTGACCACACTACTAGTTGCCAGGTGAAAGGGATGGGGGTGACGAGGTGGGGATGTTTCAATAAATAAAGGACAAGGAATATGAAAGCAAAGTAAGTAGGTTACTTAGTAGGGAAGTAACTTAGCTAATGTGTTTTCTCTTAATTGTTGAGCCCTTCTTGACCTTGGCCTGAGGTCTATATTTAACACAGCAGTTTCTCCATCAAGTTCTAAATAGGTTGCATTTCTCTATTCTAAGAAGACCTCATATTCTGCCTACAACAAGGAAATGATATCCTCATTAAATATTTATCTAATAGTGCCACAGAAGAAAAAGAACAAAACCATGTGGAAATGCATCAAACACTTGTCCTTTAGTAATCACACCTACTGCACAGACATAAACAAAATGTTCTCCCAAAAGAGCACCTTCACAGCAACCATTTCATCCACTTGCTGCACCCAACTTGTAATCTTACATTGAATCCTCCCTATTTTTGTAGATAACAGTGGTTAATTTTTGAAATCATGAACACACAGATTACACAGTTGATAAAGAAATAATTATGAACACATATATTCACACAACTTACACAGTGCACTTTAGCCAAATATACTAAAGTGACTTATCAAAAACTACTATAAAGATTAATTACCTCCATTTTGTAGTGCACTTAGTAACAGTAACAACACCTGGAATTTATATAGCACCTTTCTTCCTAAGGGCTCAAATCTTAGAGCAGCCGACTGCTCATTCATGTGAGGTGAATTAATGTTTCCAGGTCGCCTGAGTACCATTTAGCCAGTGACTTCATCTTGTGTAATATGTGGCATTCTGGTACCCTGATCTCTTATTGGACCTCAATTGGATAAACAGCGTGTTTCCAGAGAGAAGGGTCATTCATGTCGGCACATCATAATATTGAACTCTATTTGAACAGGGACCAAAGGTGACAAAATTAAAAAGTTCTCAATAAAACGACTTTTGTTGCATAGAAACACATTGCAGTGATACATTAGACAGTTTACAGGAGATAATTTGAAACATTTTACCATGCTTCCTCCTCCATTTTTTATACATACATACATGTGAGAAAGATTCTTCATGGGTTGAAACATTCGTGTGTTTATATTTGGAATCTCTATCCTTTCCAGGTCTCTGGAAAATACACACAATACGTTTAATGGTGTTGAGCTGAAATGCTTTAATAATCGCATTCTTCATCATATCTGAAATATAATGCTTCAAGATCTTATGTTACCAAGGCAAATGAGGATGAAAGTTTTACAGTACACTATCTTAGAAAATGGCTATTTCTATTTATGCCTCCTGTAGTTTGGTACTGATTGTGTCACTTCACATGCAGAATTACATTCTTATACAACACATTCATTCATTTCTTTGATTTAAGAATGACGGTGATTTGTGTGATTATGACGTTGGCTCTTTAGTTTGATTTTATTAATATAAGTAATGCCATAGGAATTAGAGGGTTTCATTCAGGAGATGATATTTCCAACCTGAGAGCATCACTGAAGTGAGTTTTGTGAGAATCTGGATTTAAATGTGATCATTTCTTCCTGGCCTATGTGTCTTTAGGATGGAAAACCATGAAGGTAGCAAGAGGAACTCCAATTCAGAAGTTTTCTAAGACACCAGTGGTATGTCTTAGAATTCCTTTAATTAAATTTAAGTTAAATTTAATTAAATTCTAGGCCCCATAAAATGTCCTCAAGGGGATCCAAGGATCACTCCTGTTCTCTTAGTTGACCTCAATGCTTCATTCTACAAATGTGGACACTTTGAAGATCTCTTTAGGGTGGTATGAATTAACAGCTGCCATGTTCTCAGGAAGCAGATGGAGAGAGGACAATCTAAAAAGACAGAGGCCTTTTGCTTTTAATGTTTGTTTTGAAATATGTCTGATTCTCACTTGGTTTCTTTTTGACTAATCCAAATAAGGATTTCTCAACATGGTTCTGAGTTTTCCTTTGCCCAAGGAGTCCTTGCTTTTTGGAAGTCAGAAATGAAATCTGGGAGAGCTGTTATACTACTGAGTAATTGCATGGCCCCTCTAGCAGGAGACTCTAAGCCCTTTCTAAAGGTTTAATTTTCCTTCTTCTTCTTCTTTTTTTTTTTTTTCTTCTCTGGCTCTCTCCTTGACTTATACAGTTTTAGCTTTATGTGGATTCTGTGATTATTTGATTAATAACCTATAACATCCTAAAGAGCAGAGGCCACTGTACCCCGAGTGCTAAGATAGTGCTTTTTGTAAGTCAATGGCTAAGACATGTTTGTGAAATAAATGGGTAAATGAATCTTAGGTAAAAAAAGAAAGACCGGGCAGGTGTGGTGGCTCACGCCTGTAATCCTAGCACTTTGGGAGGCCGAGGCAGGTGGATTGCCTGAGCTCAGGAGCTTGAGACCAGCCTGGGCAACACAATGAAACCCTGTCTCTACTAAAATACAAAAAAAAAGTAGCCTGGCATGGCGGCGTTTGCCTGTAATCCCAGCTACTTGGGAGGCTGAGGCAGGAGAATTGCTTGAACGTGGGAAGGGAAGGTCGAGCTTACACCATTGCACTCCTGCCTGACAGGGCAAGACTCTGTCTCAAAAAAAAAAAAAAAAAAGACCCTAAAGAAAAAAAGTAGAAATGAATAAAGAAACAAAGTAGAAATGAATTTTTAAAAAGTATGTAATAAATAGTTGCTACTTTGACTTTCAGGAAGGCATTATGTAGTGACTTGGTATTTTGGCTTTCAGAAATGCGGTATGTGGTAAGTAAAGGGAAGAATCATGCTGTCCACATCCTCAGGTCTGTCCTTATATTTTAAAAAATAAACATATATGTTTAATATTATGGCTTCTTAAGAATAGGAACCAGATCTTTTTCATCAGTGGATGCTCACTAATATCTGCTGAGAGAGAAACCTAAATCTTGCATTAATTTCAGATAGAAAACTAGCAAGAATAAAAGATGATATTAAGAATTGGTCTTTGGACATAAAGGAAGAAATACTTTTGGCTGCAGTCAGGCAATGTAGTCTGCTGTCTGTATGAAAACAAACAACCTTTAGCCAGCAATTGCCATCCATTGGAAAGAAATCATGAAGTTCAAAGGAAAAGTGGCAGAGTTCTTGACACCATTGAAACTTAATATGGTAGAAATGTAGCTGGGCACGGTGGCTCAAGCCTGTAATCCCAGCACTTTGGGAGGCCGAGATGGGCGGATCACGAGGTCAGGAGATCGAGACCATCCTGGCTAACACAGTGAAACCCCGTCTCTACTAAAAAAATACAAAAAAACAACTAGTTGGGCGTGGTGGCGGGCGCTTGTAGTCCCCTCGGGAGGCTGAGGCAGGAGAATGGTGTGAACCCGGGAAGCAGAGCTTGCAGTGAGCTGAGATCCGGCCACTGCACTCCAGCCTGGGCGACAGAGCAAGACTCTGTCTCAAAATAAATAAATAAATAAATAAAATAAAAAAGAAATGTAAAAATACTGTACATAATTTTCTGAATGTTCATATTTGTGGGGTAGCTTTTTAAAAACTTATTTAAAAGTAAAACAATGCACTGTAGACTAATATCAAGTAGATTCTTGTAGGAAAGGACAAAGGGGAAAAGCAGGCAAGTCTTACATAATCTGTTTTAACCAAACTTTTAGAAACAAAACTATTGCAAGTTTAATTCTTTGTGAAAACTGTAGAAAGAGATTTTGCCACATGAACCCAGTTTTCAAGAAGGACATTCTTGAAAACTTCCTCAGGTACAGAAATGGACTTCATACATGTTGAATGGTAAATAATGAGGCTTATTTGTCATTCAGTATGTACTTGATGGGATCAGTGATATTCACAATTGTCTGAAATGCATGCTTCTATGTGCAAAATGCCCGTTTAAAAATAAATGTGTCTTTAAGTACATCCACTAAAATTATAATCAATATAATTGTAATATTTCACTTACAGAGACTGAAGTTGTTTAAGACTTTCAAACTGGTTCTTGTGAAGATACATAAGAGGATTGGATGACAGGTTCCTTTTTTTTTTTACCATTAGATGAGAGAGGAAAAGAAGTTTGAAGGTATTATTATTTTGGAAGCTCATAATGTTGCCTTTTAAACCTGATTATGATGAGAAGTAGAACTTACAGTTTTTGTAGAAACTTCAAGTCTTTAAAAAGGTGAGGTGATAGCTCCATTATCATATTGCCAGACAGATCCCTGTTGACGACAATGAAAACCCAAAGCAATTACTTTGGAAGAAAATGACAGACTTATTACTCCTCACAATTATCGTCATCCCTTTTGATGTAACAGAAAATATGAATCCAATTTAACCAACCTGATAACTTGTTACACAACAGGGCCGTATGAGTCAGCCAAATGGATACGGTTTCCAACACTTACAGACATGCAACATTTTGCTCATCCAGTTCCCATCTGGAATTTCCTTTTACCCTCTCTCCAACACATTCCCAGCCTGGCTTTCATATCTGCTTTGGTTAATTTCCCCTGCTCTAGGTATTCTTTGTACACTTCTACTCTTCATGCTTCTGTGATTGCTACTTGCTTCATATACATGGTCTCTTGTTTATCCAGCTACGCTTTTCAAGGTCAAGTCTTGCATCTTTAATTTATTTTGCATTCCAACCAAGACAATATTGTCCACTCAGCATCTGCCCAGATAATCTAGAGTAAGTTCACACACCTTTAATATGTTCTTATACAGGACTCTTTTTGCAGAAGAAATTGCGAGTTTAGAATTAAATATAATAGGATTGTCCAATCCAGACAGAATCCTAAGAAAGTGACTCTATAAAATGTGGAAAAGAGACCTGCTAAAATCAGAAGAAATGAATCTTTAAGAGTCCAGAGTATTTTTCTGAGCCAGAGAAGGTGTTAAAGATAAAACAGATATACAGTTGCCTAAGAGTCAAACAAAAATGATCTCTTTGGTATTCTGGAACTGCTGATGTATATGTGAGAGTTACAAATAACTACGACTTAGCTCTTTCTGTAAAGAAGCTTCCATTTAGAGTAGCAACTAGATAAAAACAAGGAAAGAATCGAACAGGTGCTGTTATAGAGGTGCAGAGAAAACATAGAGGAAAGAGTCATCGATCTTGGCCTGGGACATTAGGAAGTGTTTGAAGAAAGCTTGATGATTTTAGATGGGGTAAAACAAGAACACCTTCTCAGGTGGGTGTAAAAAAAGATGTGAAGCACAGATGCTTGGAATTCAGTGACACTTTCAGGAGTCAGGAAGTGATCCAACATGAGTAGAGGATGGAGGATGTAGGGAGAGGTAGAGGACATCATGGAGAGTGCGTGGAGACAAGATGGGAAGGCCATGCATGCACTTCAAGGCAGTAGTTTTCATAGTACAGTCCAAGCATCCAAGTCCCCAAGGTTGCTTATAAAAAGAGCACATCGCCAGGGCCCACCCCAGAGCTATCACATCAGACTTTCTGGGAGGGAGCCGAGTAACATGCATTTAAGCCAACATCCCATGTGATTCTTCGGCACATTAATGTTTGAGAACTGTGTCAAGGACTTTGCTAAATGCCAGGCAACAAGGAGTGAGAACATTAACTAGGGCAATGGCATCATTTGCTCTGGGTTATGGAATGATTATTCTGTCAGAAGCATGAAAGACAGGCAACAAGGCCTGGGAGTTAGGGGAGGAAGACCAGGCAGGAACTTCTACATGGACCAGGTGAGAGCAAATGAGGGTTGAGGGGGACAGCGGCAGGACTCAGGGTCTGGCCGAACATGTGTTAAGAGAAAACTGGAGGGAAATGGAATGGTCTTCAAGCCTGGCTGCCAGGAAGGAGGCACTGAGATGGCAAGTCCAGGTGAAGAAGATGGCCATCGGGTTGGGGTCTCTTGTTTGTTTTGTTTCAAACAGGTTGCTTTTGAGGTGCTGTCGTGACACCAAAGTCTGAGGTCCTGCCAAGTGAGATGTCTCATCTCGTCCTCCAGATGAGAGGAGCACACCTAGATCACAGCCCAGAAGGGAGACCACAGGCCAGGTACGCCCAGGCCAGAGAGAGCCTGACAATAAAGCAATATGATGATGATCTCATACACCTAGAAAATGCCTTTCAAAGGGTTACCCAGAAAAATAAAGCACACTCTTTTGGAGGAAAGGACTTCAGGGGCCTCAAGTACTTGTGCTTATTCCTCCCTTATGGGTTTGTTGTCATGAAGGCACAGTAAAATTATTTAACATTTGTAAACTCAAGACATATGAATGCCTTGTTCAAGTTAAGCCTACCAGCTTCTGAATTTCTTTTAGCTTTCTGAGGCTAAGTGAATTGCAATGGATCGCTATAGATCTTAATAGCAAGCTGGCATCTCTTAAGTGGGCTCTTATTTTTGCTGTGCCTCTGCCTATATGTAAGATGAGAAGAGGGTTAGAAAAAGTTTAAAAATATGGGCTCTGTAGCACTGTTTCCTTAAGTTTATATATAAAATACCCGTCTGGGTCAGGCATGGTGGCTCACGCTTGTAATCCTAACACTTTGGGAGGCCAAGGCAGGTGGATCACTTGAGGCTAGGAGTTCAAGACCAGCCTGGCCAACATGGTGAAACCCTGTCTTTACTAAAAATACAAAAATAAAAAATAAAAAATTAGCCAGGCGTGGTGGCGGGTGCCTGGAATCTCAGCTACTCAGGAGGCTGAGGCAGGAGGATCACTTGAACCCACGAGGCAGAGGTTGCAGTGAGTGGAGATCACACTATTGCACTCCAGCCTAGGTGACAAGAGCAAAAAACTGCATCTCAAAACAAAACAAAACAAACAAACCCCTCTGTTTGTACTGGGTTATTCCTCCACCCCACCGTGCAACCCAAGTCCACAGTCACCCTCCACAGCCTGGGCAGGAATGCTCTGGGAGGAAGTCTTTTCCAAGTGAGCTGCCTTTACGTTTTTGCCATAAAATGACCATACTTTCAGTTCTTTCAGTTCTAACACAGTACCTTGCACATACCAGGCACTTCATAAATATGTGTGGATTTGATTTATGATTCTCATTAATTACATTGAATTACCTTAATTATTCATGAGTTATTTTTAGATTACTCCTATTGAGTTATTTTCTCCAATCCTTTCTGGATTTCAAAATAGTGTGTAAAGAATGGGGAAAGGTTAATTCAGAAACTAATTTCAATTTTAAGGCCTCAATCAGAAACATGAGTTTTCTATCCTAATCACTGCTATGTGCATTGTAAGAGACTTAATTTTAACTTCCATTGATAGACAATTATGTGGGGAGCAATGAGTTAATAGCAAGATAAATGATTTTAAAAGGCTTAGATCCATAAAACAAATATTTGAACAGAAAAAATTCACATGAGCTCTCTGAATATTTTTTCAGTGAGCCTAACCCTCATTCTCAATGTTGGGATTTGCTTCACCTGCTATATAAGTCATAATTTCTCAAGAAGTAGTAAGCATCTTTGTTCCTTTGTTCAGTTATAACGAATTAATATTATTTCAGTTAGTCAGTTATTCATTATCAAACATTTGTTGGGAATTAACTATACTCCAGCCAGTAGAAAGAAATGATCCCTGTGTTTAAGAAGCCATGGAAAACTCATTTAGTCCCAAACACACATAAGTAAGAAATCACCCAAAGAAAAGTAGAGTAACTAGGGTAGGCTGAATCCGTATTAAGCCCACTGTCTGATTTGAATGTGCTTTGGACTTCAGGATAATGTTGGTTTTCTTAATTGATTTTTAATATCCAATAGTCTACAGGATTTTGATTGCTACTAGTGGCAAAGCAGTCTCACTAGTCATTTAAATTTATAATCTCGGAAGAAGCAATCATATTTTCCTAGTAGACGACGCTACTTACAGTTCTCCTAAATTTTTTAATGAAGAAAATGTCTTCTCTGGAACAAAACCAATTTGATTTCTAGGCAGAAACCTGTAAGACATGGCGAGAATCAGCATGTGGGTTTGCGTCTGCTGTAGTAATCAGTTCTCATTGGGAGAGGCCACTGATCCAGGCAGATTTTTATAAGCCTCCTTTGAAGTCTTCAAGGGAGGCGTCTTTTAGAGTGGAACCTAAGGCGGGACTTTCTCACCGTGGACATCCCCATGTTCTCTTCAGGAAGTGCTGTCACGAGCAATTTGAGGTCCTGAGTGCGGTCTAGAAAGCTGCACTTTGTTTGGATCTAATTATTTTAGAAAATGTCTCTTTTAATTTTCCTTTTCCATTCTTTTTTCCAATCACCCATCCAATCAACAAACATTACTAAGTGCTTACTAAATGTGGAAAACTATCATTAAAACAAAACCAAAACACTCATGTTTCAAAGCTTTCCAGCACGAATGCACTGATTGACCAAACCATCTGCCTTCCCACCCCATAAAAACAGAAACAGCGATCAGAATCATGAGGCAGAATCTTTGGCCAATCAGAATGCATTCGATGTTTTTCCTTTTAGATGAAATTATGATTTTTTTTTCTTTAGGGAGAAAGACATCAAATGCTAAGAGTCATTGGCTAATCATTGTACAACTAACCACTTACACATACATTATTTCCCTTCCTTGGTGACCACGGGGTTAGGAAACTGGAACTTTCAGGTCCCAGTTCAGCTGACAAGGTGCACAGAAATAAGGAAGGCACATGATGTCCCTAAAGGGTGGGCACCTTAACTTGAGGCTCAGCCCCAACATCCAAATCAATAAATCGGTGTGTGCATTTTCTAGCACTGCAGTGTCAGAGCAAGGCTGTAAAACAAAATACTACTTTAAAATTCTTTGTCAATGTTTTCTTTTTAACTTCCAAATATATAGGGTTTCCCCTCATTTAGTGAAGTCCATTGTATACTTACAGCACTGTGAGCGAATTGCACGACAGAAATGTAGAATTTGTGAGATACTTTATTCGATTGCCTTCCAAATCCCTGGAAGTCATGGAGGAAAGATCATTTTAATTTTTTTTTGTACAAATCATTTGCTTAGAGATACTTTTTAAAACAGTTCTCAAGTTTATTTTTACTTCATTCCAGTTGTTACTATGCTTTCCTCCTAATTATTGCAAGATTAGTACTAATATTATAGTATTGCAAGGTTAGTACTAATATTGCAAGCGTAATTAATATTATGCTTCTTTCCCCCTTCCAACTAATGTTCATAAAATTGAGGAAAGGGCAGCCTAACATTTAGTGAGTGTCTTTCTGTGCTGAACACTATGCTATTAATTATAATATTGCCCAACCCATCATAAACTACCATTGATTGGGCTTTTATGGTGCCAGGTGCTGTTCTACATGCATCCCACAGCACTCCTGCCAAATTGCTGTTATTACCCCCCATTTAACATAAGAGAAATCCGAGGCTTTTGGTGATTTACTTTCCTTCTGGCCACACAGCTAGTAAGTGGTAGAAATGACCCAGCCCAGATCTGTCAGAATCTAAAGCCTAGACACTTAACTACCATGTGTGTGGCGTCATTGATCATTACATCCTCACATTCCCTCCAACATCGGGTAGACGTTTTTGTCTCTGTTTTGCTGAAGGAGAATCTCAGGCCAAAGTTATCCTGTACATACTGTACACCAGAGTCAAGATGTGAATCCTGATCTGTGTGATGCCAAAGTGCAGGCTCTTTCTGTGATTCCTCAAGGACGCTAATGCCAAGGGCAACGCTGCTCAAAATGGCATGGACGCAGCCTCAGCGCTGCCTGGAACTTGCTAGAAATGCAGATTCTTGCCCTAGACCGACTGAATCAGAAACTCTAGCACTGAAGTCCAGCCATCTGTGTCTCAGCATGTCCGCTCGTTGTTTACGATGCATGCTGACGTTTGATAAGCACTGCTGGGAGATTTCATTCTGCCAGGTAATTCTGCAGGTCAGTGGCATCCCACATACTTGGACAGCGCCCTTCGGAACACTCTGATATTCCTGCTTCAAGCAATGCGGAGTTCTAAGAAACAGCCCATTTTTCTGCCAAGTCTCCTGATTTCTCTTCATAGTTAGCTTCTTACAGTCTTCCCCAAATATGGCAAGAGCTATTTTTCTGCTTCTGAACTTTTCTTATAGTCACTCTAAAATCACCAATCCCTTTGTCATTTTAAGAAAATCCCATTTTAAAACTATCTTGGAGATTTGTATAGGAACTTGAGATGTACATTTTTTCACACAATATACTGTGATTAAAAATAACAAACATCGTATTCTCCTAAAAATCCAAATATTGTGACATAGAATGGAAAAAATGTTTTTCATGATCTCAGAAGTAGGACACTTTGGGGTTGTGGGAGCAATTGTCCAACTTGATAGCAAGTAAGCGAAGAGGAAAACCCTCCCCAGAACAGGTTTTCTCTTGTCTGGCTTTTCTTCCTGTCTGGCCTCTCAGCTTCCTACCCTCTGTGTTGAAAGGCTATCAATTGCAATCAGGCCGTCTTGCTACCTATGTGTTTTTATTCCGTGTCTATTTTTTCCCACTTGTTTGTGGGAGCCCATTGTGAAAATGAGTGTCTCAGGAACCCTGAGCTCTGAGGCTGGTTCCTCACCTCCTGCTGACTGATGCCCCTTTTGGGGAGGGAGAGCACGCTGAGCCCCTGATATTTGTCTGCTACCTTTACTGTTTCCCGTGTGTTTCCCATTGTGTATATGCACTTGTTTAGTTTCTAAGTATTTTCTTTTCACCTATTCTTATTCTCATGGTGTTCAGGTCATTATCTCCATTTTTAATAGTGGCACACTTATGTGAGACCTCTATTGTTTTAGAAGCCTTTTGACAGCATGTATTTAAATAAATACATAAAAATAAACATCAGAAAATAAACACAACACTACCTAATAGTATTGTAACAAGAGATTTTGAAGTTAGTTCAGATAGGATCAAAAGCTGAAGTACTAAAACTTTATCATCTTATGGGTCTTGAGTTCCATGATTTGACTGAGAAGAGTTCCAGCAGTGGTACCATCAGCATTTTCACAGAACAGGAAAGCAATGGACATGACAATCCTAGTTGCTGCAGAAGACCGTGAAGGTGTATGTGGCAGGGAATGGTGGGTAATGGTGGTGAAGCTATGATGTAAATTAAATGAATGTTTTAAACGGGTATTGGTTAAAAGCTAACAAGGAGTAGAAATGGTTTAGTACATCCATCCTAACAAAGGCTTATTGAGCACCTATTATATGCTTGTCATTGTCCTGATGCTAGGGTAGGAAATCATATGATAGGTTTCTGCCTTCCCAGAATTTATGGAACAGTACAGAAGATATAAGCACCGAGGCGGGTGGATCACCTGAGGTCAGGGGTTGAAGACCAGCCTGGCCAATATGGTGAAACCCCATCTCTACTAAAAACATAAAAATTAGCCAGGCCTTGTGGTGCATGCCTGTAATCCCAGCTACTTGGGAGGCTGGGGCAGGAGAATCACTTGTTCCCAGGAGACAGAGCTTGCAGTGAGCTGAGATTGCACCACTGCACTCCAGCCTAGGTAACAGAGTGAGACTCCATCTCAAAAAAAAAAAAAAAAAAAAAAAAAAAGACATAAACCCAATGACTCTATGGTGATAGTACCCTGAGATAGGGATGAGGTGTAGAAAATGGTCTGTGTGGTGGAGTTTTGTACATGATGCAATGGGTGGGAGTACATAGGCGGCTGCTGAAACTGGTTTGTGTGTCAGGAATGGCTTCCTGGAGGTGATGTTTAAGTTGTCTTTTGAAGGAAATGTTTAAGTTATCCAAAAGAATAAGGGAGCAAGACTTTTTAAGTCCAAGGAACAATATGCTTAGGGAATTGACTGTAGGAGCAGTAGTTTGATACATGCATAGGAGGGAGGGTCAGGGACAGCATCTAGATGGCGTGAAGAATGGAAAATGAGGGTCTTGGATGCTCAAAGGGAAGGTCAAACTTTACCCTCACCCTTTGGGAACCCTCAGATAATTTTGAAACTGGGAAGGTAAGATGATCAGATTTTGGTTAGGGAAAGAAATTATAGATGGACTCTCTAGGTAACCTTGAATTAACTTTATGGCTAGTTTCCTTAATCAGGGCAAATAACAAATTAATTCCTAAATAAATACTCACACCCAGTTGAGTAGAGGCATTTGGGCACACATCTGCTTGGGAAGAGCTTCTAAGTAGTTATTAACCATAGACCTTTACACAAAGAAAATATTAATTAGAAATAAAATGATATGACACTTTTAGGACAGTCTTTCTATTATTTTAGAATTTCAAAACTTGCATGCTAAAATTAATATCTTATGATGAAGAACATATATAGTTATTTCAAAATGGTCTTTAAAATATGTGTATGGCAAACATTAGGGAGCAGATGTTGTCAAAGAAACTATGAATGCATAAGTATGATACATATCCTAAGAACAGATGTTACACAGTTTAATTTTATGAGATGAAACAAAAGTATATATTGGGTAATAATTTTGAAGTTCATGGCAATTTTCCTTGTAAACTTGAGGTTGAAAACTTCAGGGCCATACATCCAAAGTTTCTTCTTAAGGGCATCATTAATCATTTGTAATATTAAAGGGCCACATTGGAAACTGCATTAAATTGGAGAAGTGACAGTAGGGGGAATTTGGGGAAACAAAACAACTCATGAGCATGTTAAGCTGCACGATTAATTTATGATATTGTGATTCCTTTTGACAAATGGAAAAATAATGATGTTCTATGATCAGTTGTAAAGGAACATAATAATCCCCTGCTGATAAATCATTCCAGTGTATTAATAAACAGTGAAAATATTATTGTGAGAACAGCTGTCTTGGTAGGACAAAGATTTTGAAAGTTTCAGTGAGTCTTGCTGGGCAAAGGCACATTTTCCTCCATTAAAAGTGGAGTTGGAAATGAACTCCTGGGAGATTCTAAGAAAATATAAAAGTAGTTAGGATATGAAAATTAAAACTACCTTTGGTCAACCACTACAAATAAAAACATGCCTTAGTACTAAAGGAAATTAAAGGGGATAGAAAAATCAACTAGTAGGCTTAAAATATTCATCGTAATCTGGTCAGCTCTTCCCTTTGAGCCATGGCTAGAAAGTGTTATATTAACAATAACTGTGGCTGGAAACACAGGAGAAGTTTTGACTAATAAAAATTTTTGTGGCTTGATTTTGTTAAAAGTTCTTTTTGTAAGCTAGTGCTAGATGTCATTACAATGTGTCAATAGACATATTGAAAGGTTGATGAATACTTACAGGAAAAACAAGGAATTTAATCCCGTAAACAAGCGCTGTGAAATTCTGGTTATTGGATTGTCATCTAGAATTCTGATATCAAGAAACATTTCCAATATTAGAGACATTTGTGAAATAAAACCTGCCTCCCCTCAACACCTGGCTTATGGAAGCACACACCTCCTTTGTGTGCTTCCATACTTGGCTCACCTGTCCCTTCCCTGAGAGCTTTTCCTTCCCTCTGTGGTTGGAGCAACTCTTTCCTCCAAATTCCTACAGCTTCCATCCCACTTATCAAGTTGGATCCTGATTGTTTTGCTTTCTCCCTGCTGCCTCCATCTCCTGCTGGACTTAACGACCCAGGTTGTATCTGTCACCTCTGGGTACCTGGGTCTGGCACAAACTCCATGTATTGAATGCATTTGGCCCCATAAATGCTCTAACCTACTGATTGACTGAGCTGAAGGATGAACAAAAAATATAATTTTTAGGAAATCACAGAGGGTTCTTTGGTCTCATGGTGTTGAACTGATGTATTAAATAAGGTGTGTATAAATCAATGGATGGATGTCATGCTATCCATAAGGAGCTTTCTGGGTGAAAGAGTGAAACTATTTGCATATTCAAACCACTATTTTAAACTATATTTTGTAGAAGAAATGAGAGTAAGGGGACATAGGCCTCTATTCCTCTTGTTGCCTGTGAAGCCAGTTTGTGTTTCCTCTTACTTGCAGTGGCTGGTGAGGGTAGAATTGGGAGAAGGGAGCCACATTGAGCACCTACTATATGCCAGGAGCTTTGCCTGTGGAACCGTTATGTGATATAATCCTCACAACATCCCTCTTGAAAAGGAATTATAGTTTACAGATGAAAATAAAGAGGTCTAGGAAAATTAAGAAAGTTGCCTGGGCTGGGCACGGTGGTTCATGCCTGTAATCTTAACACTGAGAGTATGAGGCAGGCAGATTGCTTGAGCTCGGGAGCTGGAGACCATCCTGGGCAACATGGTGAGACCCACCCCGTCTCTACTAAAAATACAAAACATTAGCTGAATATAGTGGCTCACACGTGTAGTTCCAACTACTCGGGAGGCTGAGGTGGGAGGACTGCTTGAGTCCTGGATATTGGGGCTGCAGTGAGTCAAGATTGTACCAGTGCACTCCAGCCTGCATGACAGAGTGACACCTTGTCTCCAAAAAAAAAGAAGGAAAGAAGGAAGGAAGGAAGGAAAGAAGGAAGGCAGGCAGGCAAGCAAGCAAGCAAGCAAGAAAAAAGAGGAAGGAAGGAAAGAAGGAAGGAAGGGAGGGAGGGAGGGAGGGAGGGAGGAGAGCCTGGAAGACTAAGCATGGGGCTAAGGGTGAGAAAGAAAGAGAGAGAGAAAGAGAGAAAAGAAAAGAAAAGACAAAAGAAAAAGTTGCCTGGAAGACTAACCATGGGACTAAGGGCAAGGCACACAGAAGGGCCTGGATGAAGCTGAGGCCCTGGCTTTTTCCACTAGACCAGGCCAACCTGCAGAAAATGGGCAAACAATACGGAAAGCCTTCTAACCGCCCCTTGTGTATTTTCCTGGTGAAAGCACAGACATCTGACGTGAGGTTTCTTGGAACGGAGCTGGTGGCTAAGTCTGAAAAGTGGTGAAATACCACAAGCTATCATGTTTTCAGACTTCTCTCTGAATGCTCTGGAAAGCAGAACAAGTTCTTAACTTGCTTACTTTTCAGTACAGTGGTTGTCAGCAGAGGTCAGTTTTTCCTCCCAAGGGACATTCAGCAATGTCTGGAAACATTTTTAGTTGTCACAACTCTTGGGAGAAGGGGTATACTACAGGCATCTAGTGGGTAGAGGCCACAGATGGTGCTTAGCATCCTAAAATGCACAGGACATACTCTGACCTTCCACCCTACCCTTCCCCAAAACAAGCATTAAGTGAGCAAAAATGTCAGTAGTCCTGAGGTTGAGGATTCCTGCTCTTGGTGAGCACTGGATGGATGGATGGCTTAGCAAGTCTACTGCAGAGCTCAGAAGGCCTCCTGAAGAAGCTTGGCCAGCTTCCTTTTCACATAACCACTACTTGACATGACATTGAATTGCCTGGGTAAAGTTCTGCAGATTATATGATAATAATCAGAAAAGTAGGTATAAATATAAGATATGTCAAACAGTGGAAACGATACGAGCACTGTTGTATATCATCAAGACTAGGATCCTTTATGGAGAAAGAAGAATTAGAGTACTTACAGCCAAGTTAGCTGATGTAAGTCTTTGAATATTCCAGGTCTGAGAGTTGTGATGCGGTTGTGGTTGAGATATCTACAAAGAGCATGGGTGAGTTAATTAGGCAAACTCAACACCCCATTTTAGTCACATATAATTAGAATAGGAGCCACTGTTGATGATTATGAATATGGACATCTGTGTCTGAAAGCACTCAGCTGAATGAGCAGAGGGGGCAAATTCAAGGGGTATCCAGAAGGTACAGATAATCACAAGCCCAGTGTGTGTAACACCAGGGCCGGGGCAGAGAAAGTGGTCCTAAAATGTTCTGGGATACTACATCATGTTAGATTATAAGGGTATAATAACTAAGTATGTGGGGCAATTTTTGCTTTTGTCCTTTTTGGTGACATCCTTAGTAGACTAGCATTTTAAGAAAACACATAGCAAGTTATCAAGAGTTAGAAAAGAAATAAAATGCTAAAATATTGCGGAAGTGACCCAAGCTAGAGAAGACAAGCTTAAGGAGAACCTTTATATGTCTTTGGTAAAGGTAGGAATCTTTTAATAATTCTTTCAGTGTAGTAACTAATCTAAGTACTTCGTGATAACCTATTCCTCCCATTTCCCTACGATCAAGTTGAGGCTTGAAAAAGTACCATTCTATCCTTTTAGTCTTTACTTAAAATTATACCTACAATATGAGAAAGAAGTTACTCACAATATTTGTAGATTATATAATCCAAAAAATGCTTTCCTGGATATGTGTCTAATGCAATTACGCTGAAGAAATCTGGTAGGAATAAGATAGGAGAGTCAGGTGATTACGGTTTATGGACTATATTAGGTTGTTGAACATGTTCTCCACTTTCTTTACCTGAAGACAACTATGAAATTGCCTCATAAAGTACAAAGTCCTATTCTCATGTTGGTGAGATGTTGTCAGTGAGAAATGGCTATGAACTAGCCAATGCTTTTCTCACAGTACTCGTGCAATGAGATTCAGGCATTTCTGATTCATACCACTGAACTCCAGTGTGATGTGTCTGCGGAAGGATCTAGTCTTGTTTTGGCAAACTGGAACTACGGTGACCATCCTGTTTTGACGGGCAGGAGTTTCTGGCCTTGTGAGACTAGCCAGCCTCTCACTGCTGGACTTTCTTCCTCTTTGTGCACAGAGATGCACCTTTAACTCCCCATTTATCTTTATTCTATTCCCGTGAATAAAGGAGAGGGCAAGTTTTAATTCTTTTCTATTTCATGATGCAAAGTGAGAAGGACAAGGCAAGTTAGGTACTCAGAATATCAAAGGACATCAGTAGTTGAACCAGGGCAGGTATGCCAATTTCAAGTCACAGGATCAGGACTGACTTAACCTCTGAAGCAACTTAACAATACAGTATTGATTCCGTAATTGCACTGTCAGGAGTATCTAAGTAAATAATTTCCATTTGCTGTCTTCATTGTACAATGGGAAGTTAGCTCTGAATTCCTATTCTCTGAAGGCTCTCAGGGTCAGGCAATACCTACACCAATAGTAACAAATTGTTACGTAGTCTTTTGAATGGCTTCCATTTCTCTTATTTTGGTTTGAATTGCTTCCTAAACTATTACACAATACTGTTTCATTGCTATGATAGTCTACTGCAAAACTATTTGTAGATCACATGCTCATTTGACATCTGGCTATACTGTGAATTTTATTATACCATGATTATTTCGTAGCAGAGCTCCCAGCCTTTGCCTCTGAGTCACGATTGTGTTATAAGAGTACCAGGATGGCTGGGCGCGGTGGCTCAAGCCTGTAATCCCAGCACTTTGGGAGGCCGAGATGGGCGGATCACGAGGTCAGGAGATCGAGACCATCCTGGTTAACATGGTGAAACCCCGTCTCTACTAAAAAATACAAAAAAACTAGCCGGGCATGGTGGCGGGCGCCTGTAGTCCCAGCTACTCGGCAGGCTGAGGCAGGAGAATGGCGTGAACCCGGGAGGCGGAGCTTGCAGTGAGCTGAGATCCGGCCACTGCACTCCAGCCTGGTTGACAGAGTGAGACTCTGTCTCAAAAAAAAAAAGAAAAGAAAAAAAAGAGTGCCAGGATAGTGACTCTCTCAGACCTCAAGAGAGCCAGGTAAAGCCAAGATCGGAGTGGCTACCAGAGGCCAGGAAGAGGGGAGATGAAGGGGCACAAATGAATATTTATTACCACTAAACTATACACTTAAAAATGGTAAAGATAGTAAATTATATATATTTAACTTCAATTAAAAAAAAGAAAATGAAAGTAAATAAAGGTTATTGGAAAGGAAAAAAAAAAAAAAAGCCAGGGTAGGCTTCCAGCTATCAGCAAACTCTATCTTTCACCCCAAGTACTTTACAAACATTGTCATTTTCCCTCTGTTCCTCCATGTGCAAAGGGTTGGCACTACAGAGCATTACATCTGTGGTAATATGCAGAGCATCAATTTCAATCCTGCAAAGTAAACTTGAAACCCAGTGTGACCTTGTGCCATCTTAACCCCCATTCCCTGTACCATATCTGTGGGGAGATGCTTCACAGAGCAGCATACATTCTGCTTTTGGTTTAAGATTCTGCTATGAATAGGATGAACTCACGCAGATCAATATCTGTTTTAGCATTTTCAGAGCCTTGAGACTGATGCAATGAAAGTTAATATGATGAATTATGTTACAGTAGCAAATGAAAATAGAAAAAGAACAAAATACTGTATTGTAGGTATATTGAAGTTTCTCTTAAATATACAATTCACTACTTAACTAATGCTATTCACATTTTATTCAGGATGATAAATTCAAAAATGGAATGAATGTTTTACCTACATGTTGTCACATCTTGAAGAGATGAGTGCAGTTGCAAATTGTGAATTTGACCTTATGCTTTTGTCTTATAAGTCAAGGGAAAGAAAGAGTAAAACCAGTCATCCACACAACTCATCTGATGTGTACAACCTGTCTCCCTTCACTGACATCACTTAAAACTCAAACTCTTACATAATGAAGAGCTTCTCGTCTTCTATTTAGTTGGCTGGCTGCCTCCCCATAGAGAACTGTAGTGCCTCCCACATTCCATGTCTCAGACTTAGGCTGCTGAACTTGAACTCCATCCTCCAGTCTCTGCTATCTTCTTTGCAGAATAGTAGCTTAAAGAACATGAGGGGATATCTGGAAACATGACAACTTGGCCAGTGGTGCCCTCTTTTTATTCAGAGCTGAGATATGAGCCCATTTAATATACTTTACACTGAATGCCTTTTCTAAGAATAACTTACAGGTTCATGAATTCCTGCTGTTTCAGCTGTCAGGACTTTTCAAGCAGAAATGCCAGGAATTTATGTACCCGAAACTAAAGCAAATAAATGCTTTAATGACATGCATGTTTATAGGCTATTTCTGAATGTGCCATTTTGTATTCAAGATTCAGGCAGACACCTTGGATTTCGTTTTGTTGCCAGTGATTGTATTTAACAAGAACCCAGATTAAGAAGGAATTCCTAATTTATAAAAGGTTTTTGTTACAATAAGGAGGAGAACTGCTGTTTGTTTCCATGGTAGCAGTGATAAAGTATTATAGTCAATCCCACAAATTGTATTTTATTTCTCTGAAAGGTCATTTGAAACTGCATCCACCCCCAATTTAGAAAGGCCTGACATTTTAAAAGATTATTAAAATGAATAAACCGATCAATAGTAAAAGCATTCAGATCAGTTAAGCAACACTTATTCATCTGGCAATTAAGATTTAATTTTGATTTAGGAATTTGGGTTTTTTTTTGTTTTTGGATGCCTAAATGACCTCAACTCCACTGTGAATATTCAGAGTATTCCAGACAGGAGACTGCCTTGACATTAAATTTGGTGATCTCGCAGGACAACAGTCCCCAACCTTTCTGGCACCAGGGACTGGTTTCGTAGAAGACAATTTTTCTTTTTCTTTTTTTTTTTTTTTTTTTTTGCTTTTAAGACAGAATTATGCTCTGTTGCCCAGGCTGGAGCGCTGTGATGAGATCTCGGCTCACTGCAATCTGGACTTTCTGGGTTCAAGCAATTCTCCTGTCTCACCCTCTTGAGTAGCTGGGACTACAGACACACGCCACCACGCCTGGCTAATGTTTTGTTGTATTTTTAGTAGAGACGTTCACCGTGTTGGCCAGGCTGGTCTCAAACTTCTGACCTCAACTGATCCACCTGCCTCGGCCTCCCAAAGTGCTGGGATTATAGGTATAAGCCACCGTGCCTGGCCAGTTTTTCTATGGATGGGGAGGGGGTATGGTTTTAGGATGATTCAAGTGCATTACATTTATCATTAGATTCTCTTAAAGCGTGTACAACCTAGATCCCTTGCATGTGCAGTTCACAATAGTGTTCACACTCCTGTGAGAATCTAATGTCATTGCTGATGTGACAGGAGGAGGCAGAGCTCAGCTTTGCTTGCTCGCCCGCCACTCACCTCCTGCTGTGCAGCCCAGTTCCTAACACGCCACAGACTGGTACCCGTCCGTGGTTCAGGGTCTGGGGATACCCCTGTCATAGGATATAATCTGTTAAATATGCAGATTAACTTTATTAGCCCAATACAGTCTAAAACACATATTTGTGCATGTCTGTTCTCTGCTGAAACAGAATAAAATTCAGATGTCTTAGCTGGCATACAATCATGATTCAGTGACCTCTCCGGCATATGCTCCATCATCTCTTGTGGGGATGCCTTTCCTTTAGGTAAACTGCCTGTTCACTCTCTTCTCAACATCCTTTGGACGTTTCTACTTATGTTTCTTCTCCCTGGTGAAGATGCTCCCCACCTTCTCTTTAGTTCTACATGTTAGTCCTACCCATCGTTCACTCAGCAAATACTCATTAATCCTTGTGGGTTTCTTACCAGGTATGCTACGACACAGGCCTCAATAGACTAAGAGAGAACCAGGAGGGCCGTCCAGCCCGTGAGGAGCATATGGTGGCCAGAGAGTTATTCCTTCAAGAGGGAAAGTGAGGGCTTCATGAAAATAGAATTGTAGTTGACCCCAGTCATGTGCAAAACTCAAACAGTAGAGAATACTGTGGCAATAAAAATGTGTATCTAGTTTTATTGTAGAAGCAAGAAAGTCTTAAGGAAAGTCTCAGTTTGCCTCCTGGAACCTGTTTTATAATGTTACGAGATAATGTAAAAGGAACAACTGCTTATTTCTCAACTCCTACTTTGTTCCTGTCTTCTGGATCAAAGAAGATGGTCTCAGGATTGAAGAAATGGAAAGGCTATATGGCAGGCAGCTCAGTGAAAGCCCAAGATGGTAGAAGGTGTTAATCAAAATTAATTAAAGCCCTCTAGTTTGGAAATTTTCTCCTAGAAATTGAGAAATGCCAAAAAATGAGAATTATCAAATTATGGTCAATTGCTGAGGAATCCAGAGAAAGGATGAGCAGCTGGAAAGTAAAAGATGGCAAATGTAGTCTTAAGTTCTCAAAAAGGTAAGAAGTTGGTTTCACAAGCTGTGGTTGGATGAGCTCAAGGCTGGTCCTGGGAAGATCATAGAACAGGTGAATGTGATGCTACTTTGTCTATGCCTCAAAAAGAAAGTGACCAGGACAGTTCATAAGAAACCACATGGTAGACCAACTTCATTTTCTTCTTTGAAAGACTGTGCAAAACTATGTGATAAACATTGTTACATGTCTGCTGGGCACTGATCAAGCAGTTTTATAATTTTTTATAGACAAAAGAAAGAATGATACATATTCTTATCTGAAGGATGGTGATGAAGGAATATAGAAAGACAGTTTGGTGCTGTTCTCTTCAATATTTTACTCCATGACCTGGGTGAATGTAGTTAATCTTATTTGCAGATGACATAATTATGAGAGGAGTAATGACTATGATGGAAAACACAAAAAGACCTTCACTCTCTGGTAAGAAAAGCTGACTCTAACAGGATGAAACTGACTAGGGATATATTTAAGCACCCACAACTAGCTCTCAAATACTAAGTGCATGAGTACAGGATGTAGCACACACATCACTTAGCAGCAACACATGTGGCATGGGATTAGACATTATAGATCAGTAGGAGTTAAGAGTATCAAGAAATCATCAAAAGAGCAATATTCTTCCCCGTTTGCCTCGGTCATGGTACAGTGATAACAGTATATTTATTCTAGGTGTCACCCATCAAGACAAATGTAGGCAAACATATGCAGATTATTGTGACCAGAATGATGAACAGATTTGAAACTATGTCCTTTGGGGAGGAATTTAAGGAACTGAGGATACTTAGGGAAGAGGTTTGTGGTGTGGTGGAGGGTGATGACAGCTAGTCTTAAATATCTGTAGACACATGTAGAAGACTGATTAGATGTGTTCTGAGCAGTCTTTTGGGGAGCTTTAGAGGCACCTTGAGCAGTGGTAATGTGGACAAAGTTATTAGTGAATTGTTTGAAATTCCATTTCCCCAGCACCTTCTAATCCTCTTTCTGGTTGATTTTTAACCCTCACCACCACCTAACAAATTGTATATTTTAAACTTTGTTTATTGACTATCTTTCTTGATTGGAAATTAAGCTCCACAAGCTTAATTTCATCTGTGGCTTTTCATCGGTGTTGTTCATGCTGTATCCTTGGTGCCTAGCACCTTGTAGGTGTCAATAAATATTCATCACAGGAGTAAATGAATATGTGGATCTTGCTAGCTGCTGCTCTCCTTCTACCGGATACCAAGAGTTCTGACTGAGGCCCACCTGGTTTCTTCCTTCCCCTGACATCCTTTCCTGGGGATGGTTTGGTATTTGCCACATTTGTTATTTGGGTCATTGTATGAGGATTGGGAAGAAGAAGGTAAGAGTAGATGGACAGGAGGGACAAGAAGTAGGACTGCTGCTGGGGTGATTTTTCTGGAAGTTTGGAAAAGAGCAGGAGGAGTTGAGGAATGTGGGTAAAGGGGATGGGGAGGAAAGGAGATTTAAGAAAGCATTGTTGAGCTTATGAGCTGCTCTAGGATATTTGAGTATAAAGAGCTTGAGTTATTTTCAAATCAAAGTTTACTTACTGGGTGGTTTCATTGATAATAACACATTCTGAGCCTGGACTCTGTGGGTGAGCTTCCAAAGGAGCATGGTCAGAAGGTTTGGGTTTGAGGCCAGTCTCTACTACTTGTCAGCTGACTGACTTCGGGCAAACAACCTCTCTTCCCAAGTGGCTTTCCTGATTCCTGAAACTGCTGTAACGGTGTCTGCCCCACCTCACAGACTTTGGGGATGAAAATTCCAAATATTGGAATTCTTTGTAAACTTTAAAAAGTAGTAGATGACTGTAAGCAATTGTGTTTTATCCCCCTGGGCTTTATCTTACACATAATAAACACTTGATGAATGTTTATTGATGAGCGTCTCATAACCTCTTTTCTATTAGTCTCTGGGAAAATTAATGCTTGCAAACGATCAAATAGCAGCTTGCATGGGGAGAAGCCCTGTCAGGTGATATTCAGGTTATGATGTGGTGCCTGTTTTCTCTGACAAAGTAGAATTAAACATTTACTTGGAGAAATTGCTAGCTAATCTTGGCAATAAAGTTTAATCTCTATCTTTTTTCACTTGGAAAATTATGGACCTGAATTATTAAATTGTTTCTATATTCTTCTCTTCAGTGGGCTAGCAGGGACTGGGACCACAGAGGGAGATACTGGCATAGAACACAGTTATGGGTTAATAGACCGAGGAAGGACATGGCCTGAGAAGTCTTAATTTTAACCCTCCTGCTTGAGCCTCTGGTGACCCCGCCCCCTCCCCAGAAGTCACCTTGCCCAAAATTAGGAGGCAAAACATATACAAGGGAATTCTACATGGGGTGGGACAGTCTGTGCTGGTAGAAATTCAGTTGAATGCTAGAACAATTTCTTTCCCTCTTAAGGTTTCTTGTTATGGTAAAGTAAGCACTACTTTGGACATCAGAAGACATTGACTGTAATTCTGGGTCTTCCACTTACTAGTTGTAGATCTTAAGTGAGTCATTTAACCATTGCAGACTTTAGTTACTTCGTGTATAATGAAAAGATTTAATTAGAAATTCTTAAAACTTCTATGACTCTAGAAAATAGAATTTCAATTGCTATGAAACAAGAATTCTGAAACAAAAAATCTCTTCCCTTCCTTTCTGCTAGTGCTATTTTTCCTCCCATATGTGTTATTCAGGCAGTGCAAAGACAATATTGATTCATCTAATGAACAGGTTGTGATTTTAGGGATTTATTGGAAGACTAGGAAGAGTGTGGTTCGAATTTCCTCTCTAGAGGAATCTGGACATGCAGAGTCAATGCATAGCTACTCTAGTGTGACAATGACATGACCACATACCCACATACTTTAGGATGAAGCAACAGGTCTGAGAGCAGCTGGGCTTTACAGAGGCCACAGTCAAACCCAGGTATGATTGAGTATTGATATTCACACAAGGTTCTACCTCGTGGACTTGCAGTAGCTACTTCTTTTCTTGTATGAGGAAATCTGTACCTAAATTCAGGAACACAAAATCCTTGATGGTATTTCAAACCAAATGTGTGTGCCCAGTATCAACAAAGATTCAGATAATTTTTATTCCTGGATTTTCACAAATTTCACATTTCTAGAAACTTTTCTCCTCTATGCTGGATACTGAAGGATAACACAATAAGATGATGGTACCGCCAAGGGGGCTTGCAGAGTGTACAGCATTCTCTTGCTAATTTTGTTATTTAGTCTATTGATCATCTCAGCAGGTGTAGCCCCTCCAGCACCCCAGAGCAACTGGCCCAGAGGGATTGACAGACACTGATCCAACTTACAAATGACTGATACACGAACCTGAATATTCTTGATTTATAAATGTGAATAGAAAGCATCCCATCCCTCTTACAGGAATGCTTTTATTCTCTATGCCATGCAGCTTTTCAAATACTTTAAAGTGAAGACGTTGGGAAATTCATCATCCTAAGGTTGCTTGGTTAGTAGGGAATCAAAGCAAAGGAATTGTTTATGAAAATTGTGGTGCATCCTACCCTCCAAGAGAGATCATCTCTAGGGATTATATTTCACAGTTCACGGTTTTCTTTCTTGGATGATTCTGGAAGCATATTGGCCCTTCTTTGTCACAGAATACCTTCTCTGCTGATCATGTCCTGTTTATTGGCATTTTCTTTCCTCAGATATGTTAATATCATTGATTGCACAACTCCCGTGTTTTCACTCCTAACACCCTGGGGGATGTCTGTACCCTATCATTACGTATTTGAAATGATCTGATTGTTCTTGTTTATGCTGTCACTCTTTTTTTCAAGTGAAAAAGTGCCTCTGAATGTGCAATGTCATTTTCCCAATATCTTGAGGAAAATAATGAAACTGTGTATTTTCCTATTGAGATGTTTTACCTCGACTCGAAGTTAATTATCTGAAAAAAGTTTAAATAAAATGGGTTCAGCTCCTTTAAATTATGAAATGGAAAGATAACATACTTTTCAATGTTTTATTTTCTAATCTTAATTACATTTAGAAACATAAATATAATGATAAAAAGCTTGATATTTTATTTTATTTTTAGATCAAAAACATCTTATACAACCAAAAGGATTTTTTAAAAATAAATATGCTATTAATGGCTACTTACATCTTTTTAAGTTTTGTGTATTTGATGAAAACTTTATCTGGAAGACTGTGGATTTTGTTTTTCTTAAGAGACCTAAAATAACATGTAAAGCAAACTTCATTATGGATTTTCATGACCAACCCAACTCTTCCCTAGAAGCCACATGCTTGGGAAAAGAATATTTGATGATGTCCATTATACTAATCCATATTTGAACATGACAATAACTAAAAATTTGTTATGGGAGAATGAAAAGTTTATATAACAAAATAAAGTAGTTTGTGAATATTTGACATATGTATCTAGTTAGTATAGGAGACTGGAAAGTCCACGGTGATTTAACTTCTTTGTTTTTACTCTCTGGGTGCATTAACAAACCAAACCAAACCAAAAACCAACCAAAGATCTCAACCCACTCTTGCATGCCCAAATGATGACATGAATGCAAATTCCTGAGGCTTTCAATAACTTTATGCAAAGTACAAAAAATCTTGCATGATATAACATATCTGCTAGCTTCATGGATCTTTTTTATCTTTGCAGTCTTGGATAGATTACCAATGTTAAAAATGGCATAGAATAAGTAAGCGTGCTTCCTTTTTTAAAAACAAAAACATTTCAGCACAAGCACAATAGTAATCATACATAAATCAGAAAACAATTGAAAATAAGAACTCCAGGCCCACAGACATTTATGAGTTAACTGATCCAGGCTAATCTAACATACAGGGTGTAAACCATTTTTTCCCCCTGAATAGGAAGCATGGAGAATTATCTGATGCCTGGTAGTTTTAAACAGAGTTTCTATTATTTTGCTAACACACACGCAACACTATTGGGTTTTTCCTTGGTTTTCATGTGACTATAGGGACAAATATCACCAATAATTAAGTTTTACTCACAGTAATGTCACATTGTTAGAAATCATCGGCACAGACTTTAAGTCACCATTTACACATTCCAATTCAGTTTCTTTGCAGTCACAGCATTGTGGATACTGTTTTAGAACTAATGGGACAAAAAGAGTAAGATTTCACTAGCAAACAAATACATTTCTTTAATTATGACTTTGCCTTTAATAACTGATACTGTTTTCTTTTCATTGAATGTATAAAATTTACATCTGTTAAATGAACTCATTCAGCCCCTAATAAAAGTAAATAAGAATTCTCTCCTACTCAAATGTAGACTAATGTGTTAATGTCAGTTCTAGCTTCTAGTAGTCATTTCAGAGACGTTTACCAAGTGATTAGAAAAAACACACAAAATGTTAACTAGCATAAACTCATCTAGTGAAGCAAGATTAAGTTCACTTCAATGAAAAACATTAGTATGATTAATTCTTAATGGATATGACTGAGTCAGTTCAGTTCATTTGAATACCATAAAATAGTTGCTCAATAAATGCTTTTTGTTTAAAATCAGATTCAATTTTTTTCTTCTTTCAAACTTCCCTAAGAACCATGAGAAGACTGAGATGCAGGTTCTACCATAACAACACTGGCACCTTACTAAAATCCATCCAGCTAGATATTCCTTCATTTTGGTTCTTTGTTTTTCATCACTATGAAGTTGAAAGTTGAAGGTAAAAGTTACAGAGAAGCTGCAAAGCTGAGATAACCAAAGATCTAGCTATCTGAAGCGTTCAGAAGAAAGAAGGATTCAGGATGTACTCTGAAGGGACTTACATAGTTACTAAGATAGTGGCATGTAAAGAAGTGAGAAATCTAAGGAGAAGCCAGGCCAAACTGGTCCATAGGACAATCACTGTGTGTGTGTGTGTGTGTGTGTGTGTGTGTGTGTGTGTGTGTGTGTGATAGAGAAGAGGGCAGAGGAGAGAGAGAGAGACTTTGAGAGAGAGAGTATTTTTGGAGTCTGATTTCTCCTCTGAGCCTATGAATATTTGTATGATGGAGCTAAGAATGTGAGAGTTATTTTTGAATTTATTTTGTTATTTCTTTTAATGTAAGTATAAGTTCTTTTTAGTTGCCCTGCTTCTTTTAGATCACTCTTATCCAAATGTTATTTTAAAAATAAATTTTACTGAATTTTATTAGTAAAGCCAACAAACTTCTACTGAGTATATACTTAATGGAAAAGATGCTTTTAGTGTATAAATTTTTGAAAATATTTTATGTTGTCTATACATATATGTTAATTAGTTCAACTTCCTAAAGATAACTTTCATATGCTTATATCAATATTTATTGACATAACCACCATTGAAATAGTGCTTATATGATTAAATTGAAAACCTGTGATTGGAAACTTAATTTACCAATAGAATAATTTCATAGGGTCAAGCTGGGTGTGTCGCCAAAACCAGAAATGTGAGCATTAACTGTTTACCCTCCATCACCTGCAAGCCAATCATGCCCCCAGACTCTGTGGATTCTTTTTCTGAAACGCCTTTTGCATCTCTCTCTACCTCAGTCTTCTCAGTGGCATTTCCTGGGGATTGGAATAAATATAATACCCAGTATCTCTTTTATCATCATTCTTTCTCCTCCATCTGAACATGATTGACATTTTGGATCAATCGTTCTCTGTCCTGGGAGGCTGTCCTTTGCATTGTGGGATGTTCAGCAGTAGCCCTGGCCTCTACCCACTAGATGCCAGCAGCAACCCACCCCTCTCCATCAGGACGACCAAAAGTGTCTCCAGGCTGGGCATGGGTGGCTCATGCCTGTCATTCCAACACTTTGGGAGGCTGAGACGGGTGGATTGCTTGAGCCCAGCAGTTTGAGACCAGCCTGGGCAACATGGCAAGACCCCATCTCTACAAAGAATGTGAAAATTAGCCAGGCATGGTGGTGCATGTCTGTAGTCCCAGCTACTCGGGAAGCTGAGGTGGAAGGATCACTTGAGCCTGGGAGGTTCAAGGCTGCAGTGGGCTGTGATTGTATCACTGCACTCCATCCTGGGCAACAGAGTGAGACCCTGTCTCAAAAAAAAAAAAAGTTTCTAGACACTGTCAGACGTTCTTTGCAGGCACTGTTGCCGTGGCTGAGACTCACTACTCTAATTCATTCTCTACAATTCTAATGAAATAATCTTCCTCACATACATTTCTGATCATGTGCTCTTCCTCCTCATTAAAAAATAAAATAAATATAAGACCAAACCAAACAAACATTAGGCCCAAAACTATGATGATTGCCTGTTGTATACAGTAGTAACCTTGAAAATGGGATGTGGGCAAGACGACTCATTGTGGGTTAGGTAGAAAATAGTAGAGCTTTTGGTTGTATTTATTTTTAATCTTATCCTTTTTTAGTTTCTAATTTTCATACAGAATATTCTTGTGCATTATAAAGTATATAAGTGGTCATTATAAACTGGTATTATAAAGTACATAAAATACTGTTAGTGTAGTATTTGATATGTATATGTTATATACATATATTTACATATACATACTAAAGTATGTAATTGTACATTCATCTTCCTAATTATTTATCTATGTCTCTACATATACACATCCCCCCGTAAAATTCTGTCTACAGGATAGAGGCCACACTTCAATGTGTGCACCAAAACTTTTCATGGGCTGGCCCCAGCCTTCTAGGCTCGGCTCCTGCCCCTCCACCTCATGCACTCAGAATGGTTGTGAAAAGGCATCCTGCAGCCTGCTGCGCATCTTCCAACCCCAGTGTTTTGCTGATCTTGCTCCCCTGCTTGTCTTGTCACCTCGTAGCTTTCCTCCATCCAAGGACTTCAAAGTCCATCTGAAATGTTATCCTCTCTGGCAGTCTTTCCCCATCCTCAGCACAGCCATCATTTCTTCCAATGGGCTTCCCCATTCCCTGGTGCAAACATTATTCCTCCCTTTTAGTAATAATATTATATCATCACTGCTTTTGTAAGGAACTGTCTTTCCTACTACATGTGAGGTGTTTGTGGGTTAGAACTCCGTCTTAGTCATCGTTGTCCTCTCAGTGCCTCACATCTTTCTTGAAGAAAATAATGAAAAGGAATAAGAACTTTACTATGAGTCACAATTATTCAATACTTATATATTCTTGCAGTCAGAGAGTACTGCATGAAAATAGCATAAATGGAGATAAAGGTTGTTTTCTTTTTTCTTCTTTTCAATCCCACAGGCAGACAACAGACCTGTTAGCCAGTGAAATACATTGAACTAAAGTGGAAATTCCAAAGGGAATTTGTCACATTACCCATATAAATCTGTGCATCACAAATCATGTTTTTCACAAAGCTGATACTGTCTTTGAATCAAAACCACTTACAGCACTTCTGTGTTAAGGCCACGCTGTTAGCATTTCCATGGACTGTGCCAAATATGGTCGCCCATCCACTAGTGTCACCTGTGAAATGATGATTGAGATGTGTCACTTATTCTAGAAATTAAATACCATCTTACAAAAGTTTAACAATTTGGTAATGATTTTAAACTAAAATATGTTTAAGTATTAGAATGATTGATCTTTTAAATACATAGTAAGGGAGAAAAAGTCAGGCAAACATCTGCAAGGTTTCCCTTTTTTACATGAAAAATACACCAAATGTATGTGTCATAAAATTTGCAGTGCAAGTATGCAATTATTTAACATAAATATAAATGTCTTGGAAAATATCAACTATGTCTAATACTGACATTTTCCACGTTTGACCTTAATTTTGAGAACCTCCGAAGAAAATATCTGAATGTTGTTTTGTCACGTGCATCCTGCTGTATATGTAGAAACATACTTGATAGATATATTGAGTTCTGATAACATTTAGGTCATCCGACTTTTTTTTAATAAAGCAAAAGTAAAGTTTCTTAAAGGCTTTTTTCTGGGTGCAGTGGCGCTCGTCTGTAACCTCAGCACTTTGGGAGGCTGAGACGGGAGGATCACTTGCATGTAGGAGTTCAAGGCCAGCTTGGGAAACATAGGGAGACCCTCTCTTTACAAAAAATAAAAAATTAATTGGGCGTGGTGGTGCGCACCTGTAGTCCTAGCTACTTGGGAGGCTGAGGTGGGAAGATAGCTTGATCCCAGGAGGTCACAGCTGCAGTGAGCAGTGATCACGGCACTGCACACCAGCCTGGGTCACAGAGGGAGACCCTGTCTCAAATAAATAAATAATAAAGGTTTTTGAGTCCTGCTGAGAAAAATAACATTTCCTCAATTTGTCATATATTAATGTCAGTTTGTCATATGTACATATAATGTATTTGCCAAATTTTCCTCTTCTTTTTGATAAATCATATTTTTTAAAAAGGAGGCCTCATTGTGAAGTATTATTATTTCAGTATATGCTATAAAATAATGAAATATTCATTATAATGTAAGATACTGAAGTTCACACAAATACCTAAGTAAATTAAAATAATTGCCCACAGTCTGCTTTGATCCTTGGAATCTTTATTTCTATTTCTTATTAATATTCTCAGTAATTCTACTATGATGCTACCTCACTTGCTTTATTTAATTTGGGTTCAGAAATCCTCATGGGGTAAACATTCATGGCTTCTGGTTCCCATGCAGCACAGAGGAAAGGATGAGAATTTGAGTAACTTGCCCATTGGCATCCAGAGAGTTGCCCCCAAAGCTAAGCACTGACTGTGCACTCTACTGCTCTAAGCTCTGTGATAAGACTGAGGCCTCTTCTCAAGGAGTTCCTACCTAGGAAGATAAATGCAATGATAAGGGCTGGGCACATAATCCCATAATCCCAGCCCATAATCCCAGCACTTTGGGAGGCCGAGGCAGGTAGATCACCTAAGGTCAGGAGTTCCAGACCAGCCTGGCCAACATGGTGAAACCCCGTCTCTATTAAAAATACAAAAAATTAGCTGGGCATGGTGGAGGGCGCCTGAAATCCCAGCTACTCAGGAGGCTGAGGCAGGAGAATCGCTTGAACCCAGGAGGCAGAGGTTGCAATGAGCCAAGATCACGCCATTGTACTCCAGCCTGGGCAACAAGAGCAAGACTCCATCTCAAAAACAAACAAACAAACAACATCAACAACAATGAAAAGATAAGGCATTCTACTTTGTGCAGCATACAGATATACCCAGGGTGCTGTGATAACACAGATAAATTGCGGCCATCCTAGAACGGTGATACAGCATCAGGGAGGCCAGGGAAGCCCTCCTGGAGGAGGAGACGCTTAAACCGGGCCCTGAAGAATGAGTAGAAGTGATCTACGGGAAGTGTGGGCAGAGGCTGTGTCCCTCAGAGGGAGGCATGCCTGAGTACCCAGGGGCAGGACAGAAGATTCTAGAGATGCATGCCGTGGGCTTTGCTGCCCCACTTTGGTGGGTGGTTGGGCAGTGCTGAAGAGGTAGCTCTCTGTGGGAGAAAACACGCAGGATTTTTTCTGATTAACTAGACATATCAGCCTCTCTTGGCATCAGTTTCCTCCAGAGAAAAATATTTTTTAGGTTTCAATAAACAGAGCTGAAATTGGCCTGTAAGATGCTCTGTTATCTGGCCTCTGGTTACCCCTTCATTGCCTGTGTATACCGCTGTTCACTCTGCTTAAGTCACACACACTATGAAACACATCATCCTGTTTCAGTCAGCCTTGGGCCTTTGCACTTGATGTTGCCTTTGCCTGGAATTCTGCCCCTCTAGAATATTTCTTTCTTCCTTTCTTTTCTTTCTTTCTTTCTTTCTTTCTTTCTTTCTTTCTTTCTTTCTTTCTTTCTTTCTTTCTTTCTTATTTAGTTCTCAATCCAAGCGTCATCATCTTATAAAGATTTTCTCTGGTTACGTCCTTGAAGTATCCCTCCCTCCAAGTTACTTTCTATTTCATTATCCTGTTTCATTGCCTTACTTATCACTCAGATTATGTAATTCCTTACATACAGGTTTATCATCATCTTAGTTCACATTATCTATGTGAACTCCACAAGGTCAAGACACTTGTCTCCCTTGAGCTCACTGTGTCCCAGTGATTTGGAGAGCTCCTGGCACATAGTGGGCACTCAGTATAGGTTCATTCTATCAGTTAATTCTCTAGCTAGGCCCATTCACACTTTATGAATTTTTTTTTTTTTTTTTGAATTGCAGTTTTGCTCTCATTGCCCAGGATGGAGTGCAGTGGTGCGATCTTGGCTCACTGCAACCTTACCTCCTGGGATCAGGCAATTCTCCTGCCTCAGCCTCTTGAGTAGCTGGGATTACAGGCACCTGCCACCACGGCTAGCTAATTTTTTGTGTGTGTTTTCAGTAGAGACTGGTGTTTCACCATGTTGGCCAGGCTGATCTCAAACTCCTGACCTCAGGTGAGCCACCTGCCTCGGCATCCCAAAGTGCTGGGATTACAGGCGTGAGCCACCATGCCTGGCCACTTCATGAATATTCTTGGAGCTGAACCAAATTACCAGCCATAAGGAGGTAGTCATAGAAAGTCCCTTAAAATTAAAATATGAGTATTGAAGTAGATTTTCAAATATAATTTTATTTTTATAAAATATAACATTTTATGATACTGTATTTCTGACTTAAGCAACTTCAACATACAAAAATGCAGGTCGTTATCACAAATACATCGGGGAATCATTATTTGTGTTTCCAAGGGAGTCCCTACAGAAAACCAAATCAGTTTTCCTAGTTTATCACAATCATTATCCAATGGACCCACAGTTTTGGGGTGTTCATAAAGTGAGGAACACAAGGGGAGCCAAGGGGAGCACTCACCACAGTTCTCTTCGTCCGCCCCGTTCCCACAGTCATCCTCGCCATCACAGTGGAAAGCTCGGGGCAAGCACTTGGTAAGATTCCCACAGGGAAAATATCCTTTTTGGCATGAAGGAGTGATCATGCTACCTTGAGTCAGTGCAAAATCTACATGAAAGAGGGGCAAAAAAAAAAGTGTTACCATGGCTAAACTCTCTCTGTGTTATCCCATTTAATTTTCACAAGAACTATATGAGTTGAGTTCATCTGGTGTTCTTAGTGCACAATTTCTTTGAATAATATTCTTAATGACAACTTTATTTTTTATTTTTAGACGGAGTCTCACTCTGTTGCCAGGCTGAAGTGCATGATCTCAGCTCACTGCAACCTCTGCCTCCCAAATTCAAGCAATTCTCCTGCCTCAGCCTCCTGAGTAGCTGGAATTACATACGTGCACCACCACGCCCGGTTAATTTTTGTATTTTTAGTAGAGACGGGGTTTCACCATGTTGGCCAGGCTGGTCTCAAACTCTTGACCAGCCCACCTTGGCCTCCCAAAGTGCTGAGATTACAGGTGTGAGCCACCTCGTCCGGCCAATGATAACATTTTAAACAGCCATAATCACACCGAATACCAGCTATATCAAGAACAGAATCAGGGTTCATTTTGAATTCACTTCCACAAGGTAATCATAAACAAAACCAGATGTATTGTCCTAGTTTTGTATGGAAGCAAGGAGTCATCCACCCTTGAAAACAGAAAGGTAAAACCACGAGCTAATAGGGTCAAACGGATAGATTTATTTACTTATTAATCTTTTACAAGAAAGATTTGAGGTGACATGATAAAAATATACCTGCAAAAGGAGAGTTTAAGTGTGAGTTAGAGAGAAATCCAGAAACACATTAGAATGAGGGAAACTAGGATTGAACATTGAACACTTATCTATGGTATCTGCTGGGTCTACTGTTTGCCAGACACTTCACACAGTGGTTATCATTGTTAATCTTTCAGCCAGCCTATGGTATGGGCGATATTATCCTTCATGTTTTGGGATTAGGGAAGTTAAATATCTTGTGTGCAGTGGTTCATCTGGGAAGTGACACAGAGTGGCTTTGAATTGTCTCTCTGACTCCGTAGGCCCACCCTTAGCCATTGTACTACAAGACTATCAGCCGATTCAGGAATCTGCATTTCAAGGAGCATAAATCAGGACTAGTTAGAAACAATCTTCTGGTGCAGGGTACATAAGAGAAGACTAATGAGAGTTGAATAACTGCTGAGTTGAATAAGAAATTAAAGAAAGGAAATATAATTGACATTTACAAAAGTATTATATCTATGGATAGGATGACCAAAACAATTCTAGCAGTTTAGATGTAAGAGATATTCTTTCAATTTTGAGAGAATACTTTTCAGAAAATAAAGAGACATGTTCGTAAGTTGGCTAATAAAATTACGGAAGTCATGTATTTTTAAAAAAGGAGTTCTGTCCAGGTGCAGTAACTCACGCCTGTAATCCCGGCACTTTGAGGCCGAGGTGGGGAAATCACTTGAGGCCAGCAGTTTGAGACCAGCCCGGCCAACATGGTGAAACCCTATCTCTACTAAAAATACAAAAATTAGTCAGACATGGTGGCACGTACCTGCAGTCCTAGCTACTCAGGAGGCTGAGGCAGAAGAGTTACTTGAACTTGGAGGGCTGAGGTTACTGTGAGCCAAGATGGCACCACTGCACTCCAGCCTGGGCAACAGAGCTTGACTCTGTCTCAAAAAAAAAAAAAAAAAGAAATGGAACTTCACAGAAATTGATTTAAGGAGAGTGTAGACACAAGAATGGCTATTGGTCGGCATGACTCATCGAAGGGAGCAAAGGATGTGGGCAAAGTGCTCCTAACCACGCCACTGAAGGCTGGCATCATGACCTGGGATTCCCTTGGGCTTGTGTGGGAGACGATATTTTTAACATAGCGGAAGGATAAGGAACAAACTTTAGTAGGAACATCATCTACTTTGTGCTGGGCATTTCCTAGTTACTTGATTTGATGTTAATGGCAACTGTGTACAGTTGGCATTAATATCCCCAAATAAAGATGAGGAAATGACTGAGAACACGAAGGCACGTCTACTTTGATTGCTGGGAAAAATGCCCTTGTGAGGCCTGAGCCCTCCAAGCACATGCTGCCTTGTGGAGAGACGTCCTCCCCTGAGGCCCCTCAGGAGACTCTCCTAAAGGAGGTAGAACCTGCTGCTCTCATTAACAAAGATGTCATTTGTTAAAGGGCAGGAGTTGGAGTTTAGGCACTAAAGCTACGTCTGAATTACAAATGCACCTAAAGCTTTCAGTGATGTCATTAGGGAGGATGAGTAGATCATTTCAGCTTGAGTCGTTTAGTCCTGATGACCCTGGAGATCCAGCAAGCACGGAAAAGGAGAGCCTCTGGCCCTCTCTGGGGGCAGCCGGGTGTGCTGGTGCACACTCTCGGAGGCTGGTGTGGCCACAACCTCTGGGTCTTTTCTGACTGAGGAGGAAGACTCCGAGCGTGGCTTTTGGATGTTTTCCTGCTCGTTGGCGTTTTGTTCTTACAAAAGCAAAAATTATTGTCTCACTATTGCTGCAGTAGTGGATGAAAGATTCACTCTCGGCAACTAGGCATAAGACCAGTCAAATCTGTGACTATTTTAGGAAGACTTCTCCGCTCCTTGGCACTGGGGTTGGCTTGTTAAGCCTATTCACGCAGGGAGAGGCATACTGAGTCATAGATTTTAAAATCCCTCAACTTCTTGCTTGTAAAGATTTCTGTAGGAGGCAGATTTATAAAAATGAGTAGTCCTCCTGTGTTTGCAACATGAATGAGAGAGAGAGTCAATATATCTTCGTGTAGTGGCTTAGAAATTTTTTTAAGACAGTAATTTACAGTCAGAAATATATTCTATATCACAGTCCAGCATACACCCAGCCATAGCCACACTCCCAACACACACCTACACCCCCACACTCACTCTCACACCCACACACACTAGCACACACCCACGAACCCTCATCCCACAGCCACACCCACATCCACGAAATGAAAAAAATTTTCCTGAAATATCACTCTTTTAAAGTTATGTGGGATGAGCTTTGATCCTTGCTATTCTATCTTATTCAGTTGAGAAGGGATCATGTGCCTCTCAGTTGATTTCATGATCCCCTAATGGGATGTGACCTACTATTTAAACACATTCGTTAGTGATGATGCACCTCAGAGACACTCAGACCTGGATTACAATTCTCTGTGCCACTCACTAGCCATGTGACCTTCAGCAGGCTACTTAACCTCTTTAAATCTTAGTTTCCTCACATTTAAAATAGAATTAATGAGAACATCTCCCTTGTGGGTATGTTTCGGGGACAGACAAGCTGATGCGTATGAAGTGGGGAGAGTGCCTGGCCTATAGTAACCCTGGGTTAATGTCGGCACACAGGCAATTTCCATACAAGATAAGAAAATAGAATATCAAGAAGGAAGCTCTATGTAAAATGGAAACTTGCTGTGCCTCAGCATTTCAAAATTTTTTATGTGACTTCTCTGAAAGAAATAATAGTGACCAAAATAAAAGCTTCCCCTACTTCTTTACGTTATTCCATCTTAAAAGCCATATCACATGTATGATTTTTATTTTATTTCACATCTCTTTTGCAAGCTGAAGGAGGACTGTAAATGATAAATAACCAAGAAAAATGTCCTTACAGCCTCCTAACAATATTTTCTTAACGTTTAGAAGAAGCGATTAAGCATTCGATTAAAGAGAATTTTGAAATAGAGAGGTGAGGTGATGTGAGTAGGATCTTTTGAAGGTGGCATGTGGTGTTTCCTTCCAGGATTTATTATAAAAATAGCTGTGAGTTGTGTTTTTTTGTTTTTTGTTTTTTGTTTTTGTTTTTGTTTTTCTTCTTGAGATGAAGTCTTGCTCTGTCACCCGGCTAGAGTGCAGTGGCACAATCTTGGCTCACTGAAACCTCCACCTCCCGAGCTCAAGCAATTCTCCTGTCTCATCCTCCCCAGTAGCTGGGACTACAGACTCATGCCACCGCACCTGGCTAAGTTTTGTATTTTTGGTAGAGATGGGGTTTCACCATATTGGTCAGGCTGGTCTCGAACTCTTGACCTCAAATGATCCACCCACTTTGGCCTTCCAAAGTGCTGGGATTGCAGGCATGAGCCACTGTGCCCGGCTGACTGTGAGTTCTTTGAGGGCTGGACCTAACTAAATGCCCATCTCACATGTTCAGAAAGTCTAGGCGACAGGGGCAAACAAGCAATCAACTGTCACAAATAAAAGGCATCAAGATGGTTTCCTTTTCCCTAGAAAAAAATTGAGTTGCATCTAGCAAGTGTGGACAAAGAAGGGGAGGAAGAGACTGAACATGTATGAATAGAACCTGCCAACTGCATTTCTCGTAATTCCCTGTTTTCCACCCCAGAGTGGCATCTTCCTGAAGACATTTCAAAGCACAAATTTTATATATAAGGAGAATAAATGAATACAATGTATTCCCCACCCTTTTCCCTCTGTGACCTATATCTCTATTGTCTAACTTAGTGTCTTACTTGGTGCTCAGTAGTTTTTTAAATGAACATGTGAATTAATGAGCCATTTATTTACAAATTTAAACAAAAGAATTGAAGGAAGAACCCTTTTCAAAATTTAAGCTTCCCAAGGCAGCAGATTTAGGCTGTTATTCTGATGAGAAAATATTGTTTAGTCTTTCATGCACTTCATTTATCATTCCGCTCTGTCATTATACAAATTAAATAATAATTAGAATCCCTGCTGTACTTGGTACATAGTGAAAAAAGCATCACTAGCTATCTGTAGAAAGTGTATTCTGTTGTCTATTCTTCCTGCCATCTGTGGGAGTGGGAAGAGACAGCTTTTATTGAAGCCTGGGGATTATAAAAATGGAGGATGCCTGCATCACAGCAGTGCTGATGGCTTCTGCAGTGGTTTCCATGGGACCCCTGCCAAACACACAGCTGAGTGGAGGCTCGAACATATAAAAGAGAATTGCTCAGTAATCGCCCTTCTTCTGTCTTCTGGTCAATATTCTGGACGTGTCTGTGCCAATAGATTTTAAAATGACGTTCAGATGGCCTTTTAAAGCCAACTGAACTGCTGCCCA